GTGATGCGCGGATCATTGTCATCCGCATCCGCGTTGGATTTGAAACAGATCATGGGTCATGCCATGACTCGTGGTCCGTATGGCGTACGAAGCATTACAAAGTCCCAAAACCGAAAAAAGGCAAAAGCGCAATAGCTGTGCAGCGATATATAGTCTCTCTCCAGCTTCTCCCTTGTCTTTCTTTTTACCATGCCAAAATTACAGAAAGAACTGTCGCTGCCGCCGCAAGTAGAATACCAGGTACTCGGGTACTACCAAGAATTCGTCCAGCACCAGACTCGGACAACAAGCCATCTCCCTCGCCATCCACCTTGCTCCCAGTAAAGTCTCCCGTTCCTCCTGGATCATTCAGAATGTTTTCAAAGTCATCTTCTGGACCTGGTACACAGTACATCACAAAATCTTCTACAAGATCGTTATTTGGAACTGGAGGTCTTGTCGCCCACGCACTGGTGGGACCTCTGGTGAGCATGACGGAATTGTCGTCATTGTAGTCGTCGTTGTTTTCTTCGTCCTTGGGAGGTTGGGTGTTGCCTTTCTCGTCCACCGTTCCTTTCCAAACTGTCGGAGCAGGGGTGGGCTCTTTGGTCCAGTCTTGATCATCCACCGTTCCTATCCAAGCTGTTGGAGCAGGTGTGGGTCCTTCCTCTTTGTTTTCTCTTTCTTCTTCTACTTCTTCATTCCAAAGAACTTGCAATTTCCGACCACCACTAAAGGTGTAATAATTGTCAGGCAGCCTGGATGGTGATTCGCCGGTTTCGTTGTTCCCAATCGAGCTGGTAGATTCATCCTCGGTGGTATTGTTGTTGTTGTTGGGTAAGAATCCATTGTTGGTAAGGTTGAAGTCGGTTGGAATTTCCGGAAGCTTGCCGGTAGTAAACTCGGTCTCGTTGTTACCGTTGTTCCCATTGTTACCAGTAGTATTGTAATCATTGTTACCAGTACCATTGTACATGTCCGTTTCATTGGATGGGACAAATCCAGGAAAGAACCCTCCAGTCAACTCCTCATCTGCTTCTCCTCCTCCTTCTTCTTCTTTTTCACAATGTTGACAACCCGAAATATATTGTCCTGGAAAGAAAGCTCGACAAACAAGTCCCTTTTGACAATCTGTATCTCCTTTGCATTTTCCTTCGCACATGCCCAATGGATAATCATTGGTTTCCACCAAACAAGGATCCGTTGGAATGGGAATGCAATAATCATTTCGTGTAGCATCTTCCTCCCAGCAGGAGCATCCTGGCACTGGATCGAAGGGTCTATTCCGGTGAAAACACTCGAGGCCTTCGTCGCAATCGGTATCGTAATCGCAATCTCCTTGACATGTTTGTAGAATGGGTTTGATGCGGTTGGTATAATTCTTGTCGGGAGGAGTAATGGTATTGAGACATGGCAATGTCGGTGACATTGTGGGTGACATGGTTGCTGCTTGTTGTGCCAGACTTGTTGTAGTATTTGCATCCTTTTGAAGTGTTAGAAAAATGGCAATTCCACCACCAATGGCAATGCCCAAGAATAATACGAGTCCACCAATCCACCGACATTTTTTCGTTTTGGATTGTCCCGTACTTTCCTCATCATCATCGTCTGGTGAAAAGGTGGCATCCTTGTCATCATTTGCTGCCGTTGCCACTACCAGTACTTGGGATGAGGATACAGCTGCTTGTCCTCGTTGTTGTTCCTGTTGTTGGAGAGATCGCACTTGTTGACGAAGTCGTTCGGCTTCTTCTTGTGCCAATCGCACCGCTTCGTCGACTTGTCGTTCTTCATCTCGATCTCGATGATCGTAATGATGATAATAGTCAACTTCGTCTTCCTCGACAACCTTGGTTGCCGTAATAATGGTAGTGGGTGGATATGAGTCATCGGTTTCTCCTGTTGTATTGGAAGTCATGGAAGTGATATTGTTGGTATTGGCAGCATTGTTGTTGTCGTTGTTGTTGTTGTTGTTGTTACTACTGCTTTCCATGCCAAGACCAGAGACTGCAACGACACCAGGGGTGGTAGTATTGGTATTGTTCGAGGATGTTGTCTGGATAGTAGTAGTACCACTGGTATGGATTGTTCCTTGCTGATCCGCAAGTGTCTTGGTGGAAGGCTGTCGACTCGGAGCACAGTCGAGAAGGACGGAATTGTTGTTGTTGTTGTTGTTGTTGCTGTTGTTGTTGCTGATGTTGCCCAGCGTCGTCCATTCGTCTTCATTATCAGCGTCCTTCTTCTTCTTCTTCTTCTCTTTACTACTACCCTTATTGTTTAATGTCAGCAATAATGCAGGAGGTTGTTGACTATTACCCATACTCGAATTATTTGCAGTATTTGCAGTATTTGCATTATTATTGACATGAACTGCGCCCGGTGCAACGACTGGTGGACGCGGTGTCTCCAAGAGGCCGCCGCCAGTATTGTTTGATGGTGTCGTTGTTGTTGTTGTTGTTGTTGTTGTTGCAATACTACGCTCTGGCTGTCGCGCTGGCAAATCGGCTTCGTCCACTCCCATGATGATATGAAGATGCTATGAAGATGCTATTAAAACGCTGTCGCTTGTAGGACAAAAGCAAAGGTATTATAACAATGAATTGATGATACAGCTTATGGATGGCTTGTATACTTGTTGCTTGTTGTACTGTATAGTAGTAAAGACAGTGATGGTTGTATTAGGTAAATGCTACAGTATTGTGCTGTATTTTCAATTTGAATGCAATAGCGCATGCAGTATAGTATACTATTGTATGTGTATGTGTGCTGTACCTGCGGTAGTCGTGCGAATAAGGTCCGGGAGTCGCCGCTGTTCTTTTAGTTTGATCACGCTCACTTTGAACTTGGCGAAGCCTTTTTATTTATTTATTTATTTCACTTCGCTTCGAAAAATTTGGTCATCTCCGACTGGTTCGACTAAAATTCAAAAATCTCCATCGCATCTCGTTTGTCATTTTTGGTAGTAGTAATAATAATAAAATAATATTGGTAGTCTTGTTGTTGTTTTTATTTACCAACCTACCAACCTACCTACCTACACACCGTACAGTATTCATCATCATTGCTTTCACTTGCATTCGTGGTTATACAATCTATATAATATATAATAAACGTGAAACATGACGATACATTTGCGACAAAACCAACCCTCCAAACAATACGCGCAAGATGGTGATGCATCCTCATCCTCCTTATTATACGCTGCTTCGTCTACCACTGCTTCATGGAAACGTTCAGTGGCAGTTTTGGTGATGCTAGTATTGGCAGGTGCCTTTTTTGTCTTTCAGTTTCAAGATGCGTCCAAGGCACAAGAATTGGAACAAGACAATAAATTCAAATTTGAGGAATCCAAAACAACAACAACATCATCAAACAATGAGAATCATGAGAATCATAATGACAACATGACGTCCAATGATCGTGGCAAACCAACTACTATCGATATCCAGAATCATCTACGACAACAACAAGATGAGACTGAGGCTGAGACTACACCTACACCAGCCACACCTGCTACGTCATCATCAGGAAGCATTCGGGCGACTGCCACTCCTGATGCTGTCAATACTCCACCACCACCAGCAACCACCACAACGACTACAACGACAATCAAGACGGAGAATAAAAAACCATTTTGCACATTGGATTGCACGAATCTAAAACAAAAACGCACTGCAGAATTTGGTGGTGACTTGTCCAATCGTCACACCATGTTGGCATTGGCGGTAGAGGCACGAAACAAGATGGTGGCTTCCATTCAATTACATTATGGAGACTACTTTGATGCCATTTTCCAACATGGGTTTCGACCAGTCAGTGAAACTGGCAAATCTCAACAAGGCCTCTTGCGAAAATTGCAAATCAAAGCCTTGGAGGTTCAAACCAAATTTGCCAACGAGGAAGCACTGTGCCAACAGGACTGCGCATCCGTCCTAAATCCAAACTATCCCCTTCCATTTTATCATTATAGGAATTATCAAACGGCAACAGCTGCCACTGCTGCTGCTGCAAGTCAACAACAACAACAACAACAACAGCATTCCAATTATTATGAGAGATATGTGTGGGCGACGGGTGGTCATTCGGCGTCGGCAGGACATGGCAATCTATTCAATGAATCCTACACGGCATTTTTAGAACGGGACATGAAACCTTTGTTCCGTGCCATTGGGGTGGAATTTGAAGGACGCAATTTTGCCATGGGGGGGACGAGGTACGAACTTTATACATATTCGTGGTCCTGTGATGGTGTGATTATATGATTGTGGAATGACCGACTCACCATGATACTTACATTACCGACTCCCTACACTATATAATATAGATCGGGTCTGGAAATTGCTATGTGCTTTGAACAAGTCTTTGGGACTGACCTGGACTTTTTCGCGTGGGATTATGGAATGACGGATGGAAGAAAGGATTCTCTACTCTTTCATTATGGTAAGAACGACTGAACAACCTTATTTATTGCCATTCCTTGCTGATATTTCTCGACTGATTCATTCACTCATTCACTCATTTGACCGATCATTTATTCCACAGGATATCGAGGCGCATTGAATCCAGGCCGGCCTGCCATGTTAGGTGTCTGGACCAATGGTTGGAAGGGTCGGGACGAACGTCTTTTGGATCTGGAACAAATCGGATTGCCTACCTTTCATCGACCGACCAAATCTATTGATGCCATGAATGCCGCCTTTCCAGATTCGGGAGAAATGACGGAAGCACAATTGCAGGAACTCCCTGATTACGTCAGGAACTTTAAATGTCAAGGTAAAATTGAAAAGGTAAGTGAAGGAATGGATGCATGAATAAGACTCTACTCTATGGACAACGCTCACTCACTCACTCACTCACGTGTCTGATCATGCTGTCGTAGGGAGACCCATATTGTCAAGACGACAAGTATTCCAAAGGAATTTGTGACAATCGTGCCAGCAAGGCAGGCTGGCATCCAGGAATGTAAGAAGAATATATTGTGTGATTGGCTGATATACTACTGTATAGCCAATAGTGGTATCTCAAGTGCTGTTTTTTGTCATTCCGAATTGCCCTCATCCCTTTACTTGTTTACTTCAGCAAACAACATGGAGTCGATGGACACATGTTGGCAATGTTCTTGTCTGACAATTTGATCAAGGCCTTGCAAGGTTTGGCGGATCACAGCAATCAAGATGCCGAATCGTTATTGAAAGAACTCAGAGCGGAAGAAGATGAATTGATGGATCGAATACGGAGCGCTCACTTGGGCGACGAAGCTTGGAAAATCTATGATGGTGGTACAAAAGGTGGAAAGCTGGAGGATTTGGATCCGGATGTAAACCTAAAGTTATTCTACAAGGGCAAGAGCATTTGCCATACCGGTCGAACTCCAGCAATCACTCGGTTCATGGGATACTTGACCAACACGGACAAGGTGGGAGGTATTGCACCGTATCAAAGTGAGCAATATGACACCGGTATTGAAAAAAATGACGCAGACACAACGAATGCCGATGGCCAAATGAGACTTGTATATGAATTCAATGGAAAGGATCGTCAACAATGTGAAGTGCCGCTGAGGTAAGAACAACCGCACAAAAATGGTACTCACGCGAAGCATGCGTATTATTCATATAAATACTGCAATACTAACTCATCGCTCTTTATTATTATTATCATTATTATTTTTAGACCGGACTACAAGGACTTTTTCTATACGCATCATAGAGATGGTGTGGTCCAGCTGAACTTTCCCAATGAAAAAGAAAAGGCTGCCTACAAATACAAGCAATCCGAAATGGAGGGTGTTGTCATTCTGATACTGAGCGAATGCGACTGGGGCAAGTGCAAAGTTGGTGACTTGAAGCATGAGGACATTGAGGATGGAAAGGTCAATATTAGGATTAATGGTGTGAGTGTCACGAAAGTGGTCAATATCGGAAGCGGATGCCTGGTACTGAAAAATAAAGATGGAGTCAAATGGGAACCAAGTCGAAACGATGACTATGAAATTGCAGTCGATGTTGTGGCCCCGGATTCCTACTTGAGGATATCATCGGTGGTCATTTACTAGAGTTATATATATATATATACATAGGTAGACGGGCTCAAACCTAGTGCTTGTTGTTCCAAAGAGCCCGACTTGCATTGTTGTCAGGAATGATGATTACGATTCGGAAGGTTTAGTTTTTCCCCGTTTTTTTTAAATTTCCACAATGTTTTGCCACGTTATTATCCAAATCTTGAATTGTTTGTATTTATTTTTTAAAATACACCATATATTTATATCGTACCAGCTTGCACATTCGACCAAAATGAATCGATGAAATGGATATGAAAATAAATGTTTGATGATCGAGTTGCATAACATTTCATCGCAAGCAAAGACCAAGACAAACACATTGATGATGCGACTTGTTTCATTCCTTCTAGTGTTCCTACAATCGCGAACTCTGATAGTGATAGCTCTCTCCACAATAAATTCAAACTCGGGGCAATCAACGACAGCGACACAACCACCAAGCAGAGCCAACACTATTGAATCATCTGATTCTGTTCCAGCTATATCCATGGAAACATTGGACCGACGGAGAATGCTTCAAGAAAGCTTTTGGGGTAGTCTTATGCCAGTCTCCACCTACTGTGGCTTATTGTCCATTTCGTCTCCCCTTCCTTCGCATGCCTACACACCTGATCCAGATCCACTGAAGGAATCCTTGTATCTGATATGTCGCGTCCAGGAAGCAACCTGCCTCCAAGAACGCTACATCAACAAAAAGCTGCCACCGATCAAAAAGATGAAATTGACCCTACGGTTAGTGGATCGAAGCTATCGATTGTTGGACCAAATCAACTACATTTCCAAGTTCATGGATCCGACCAGTGTCGTGGAGGCCGTCCAAGCTGGCAATGAAGCGGCCGACTCCTTACAAGAAGCTATCGATTTTGTATATACCTACAAAGACAATGATGGGGCGGCCATGACATTGGAGCAAAAGGACATTCTGATTGCGTCCTTGACGAACACGAGAGAAAAGTTGTTTGACTTCGTGGCCTATTTGCCAGATCAAGGCAAGCTACAGGAAGCCCGAAAGCGAGTTGAAGAAGAGAACAGGCTGAACATTGATGAATATGATCCTGATCTTGCGAATGATGCTGGAATTTACAATCCAATTGAGCTGCCATGGAAGAACCGAAAGTGAGCATTGTTGTTTAAAATATTTGATTGAATTGGCGGCAATCTGGAAATTAGCCATGGGGCACGGAATAAGTCTCCTGTCGCATCAGCTTGTGTAACAAAATGAGACGAGATATCTACGTGATTTCAAAATAGTGGCAAGGTCGCCCTGTGGTGATAGTCAATCCATAACCTCTTCGATGATTTGAAATCTTCGAACTCCAATTCCCGGTAATAAAGCGCCAAATGAAGCTATTCGTCTCTTTTGAGCTTTTGCTTGGCCGCCAAAGAGGTGGATCAAGGAAGATCTCCTGTGGGTAGGCTTCGAGTAGAAGCTAGTGAAGTACCTGAAAGTTGCGCGCGTGCGAGATGAGTGCATTACAGTACGTGTAAGTCAACAAAAACGAAAACCATTAGTATTCTCGTTGACATAACCTTGACAAGACAATGGCGATGATAATGACTTCAGCCATGTTGCGAAACCAGAAATGCGACCATGAAGAGGGAATTCCATCATATAGTGGGCAGCAAATTTCCTATTTGGATTAGCCATGACACAGGACCAGCAATTGGAGTTTGAAACAAGCGTGCCCGTTTGCTGGCGAAACTTTGTGAAAACCTCTCCCAAACTTTCGATTTGCTTTGAAACGGATCTCATCACTAGCTTTTCTACTGAGCTTGGTACATCTTTCCAAAGTCGAGACGTTTCTTGCTTCAGCAGAGCAACTTCATTTCACAACAGAATCTGCTCATATTTTTGACATTCGATCAATTGCATCGATTCAGTCCTTTCAAAGAACAGCAACATCAACAACAACAAACAAACAAAACGCTTTCCACCATGTTGTCTCTTCCATCCATCATCATGATCTTTCTTCTTTTGGCCATGCAGCCAATGGCCATGCCTTCCTTGATGAGTGCAAACTACACTCGTCCATCCACTCAAGTCTCCAGTTTGGCCAACGAAAACATTGTTTCCACTGTTGACTTTTTTGGAACCACCGTGGAGATGGAATCCACTGGTATTCCTTCTTTCTCCCTTGCGGAGTTTATCCTGTCTATTGACTACGAATCGGTCAAGGCTTTCGCACAAGACTTCAGCAAGAAGTACGAAGCCTTCGCCGAAACATTCACTGATGCCATGTCTGTCATCTTCGAGTTCTTCAGTATCGAGTACAACTACAACGCCTACAAGCAATCGATCAACTACGAATCGATCAAAGCTTACGCACAAGACCTCAACGAGAAGTACGAAGGCTTGTCTTTGGCAGAACTCTTAAATGAGCAGTACAAAGCATACGCCCAAGCAGCGTTTACTGCCATGCATTCAAAGATCGAACTCTTCATCCAGAAGCTCGAAGCATACAACCAAGAGTCCCATGTCGAGTACCAACGAGTCTACAAGAAGCTAGAATATGTTGCCAGTGACCTACTTGCTGCAGCTCCAGCTTGGCCAAGCATACTTGACCCTGAATTCATTGTCAGAGATGTTTTCGACGGAATGGAATCCTACACCACCAAGGACCCATTCGTCCCAGCACCACTTCCACCGTTGCTATCCCTTGAGGACGCTCAATCGATTGCAGCAATGGAGGTAGTATTGGACTCCTCGACCACTTTTGGTTCCATTGCCATTGCCCTACTCCTCGTCGCCACTGTGACTACAATCATTTATGCCAGCAGTGTCATCGATCGAGAGCTCATATCCATGGAAGATTTATCCATCGTCTTGGAGACACCCTGTTTGTCCATGACTGATTTGAGAAAGAAAATGACACCATCGGTCATACTCTGTTCTGCGGATGCTTATGCTAGGTATCAAGCGAGTTGCGACAAGTCCAAGGACCCTTCCATCGTGGACCTTTGCAACCTATTCGCCAACATTTCCTTCCTAAAGGATACTACGGATCCTTCTAAAAATGAATGAGAGCTTTTTTAAAAACAAAAAAAAAGAGCGACTCCTGATATGTTCATCTACCTCTACCGTTTGACCCTCCTGCAACATCAAGGCCAACTCGATCTTTGGGAGTTCGGCCTACAGGGGTACTGCTGCACCAAAACATTGCAGTAGGTGGTCGCGTAAGTTAAGGAGGACATACAAATAAAACCAAGGAAGATAGGATGGTGGATGGCTTCAGAATAAGCTGGTGTGCAGATAGTATGGAAATACTATTCATGACGACACTCAAAAGTCGTCGGACCTTCAATACTTCAAACTTTGAATGGGAACAATAAGTTCGAAGATGAACTATAAAATTAAAAAAAATAATAATAGCAATGGATGCAAAATAAAACACCAGCCAATCCTGTATATACTGTTAGTTTCATTTCACTACAATATGTTTGCGAAAGTTGTTTGCAATGCCCACGATGATGGATTTTGATTAGAAGCAGAATCAATGTCATTTCGCATTGTAAATTTGTAAAAATTCATGATACTATACATACAGGTAGAAAGTACTGCAGCAGTGGACTCCATGTCTTGCCATGACTGGGCCCATTAAAAGTCCAATCCGTGTCAAACCTAAATCTGGCCATGCTTTTTGCTGAGAGCCATCGTCGCGGATGGTCCAATGAAAGGTTAAATCACAGCCTCAAATCGACGAAATACACCAGCAGAGCCAATGTTTACATGGAATGCCAAAAGAAAGCATTATTGCTGGGCAGTCTATATGCAATATACAGCCGGTATGTTGAAATCCCAACGGATGCCTGTGGTTGTTGCGTCCATCGTTTGGGTCGCAATAAATCCGTCTTATCGTACTCAGATAGAGAGTATCCAATGCCGTCATCTCATCAAAGTAGAGGCAAAGGATGATTCCTCTGGAAGTGGATAAGAGTCCAGTTTGCCCATTTTCAATTTGTCTTTTGGGTTTGCCTCATCCAGCCAACCGCAGGATGTTGCAAGAATCAATCAATCATACTTGTGTGTGTGTAGTGACAAAATTGCACAACAAAGATTCGTTGTTTCATCGTGAATTGCTCTGAATCCCATCCGATAAGTGTAAGAGTGATGAGTTGTCTCGATTTCTTGCAGTTTTGATAACCATCGTTAGTTTGTGCTTCAAAGTTACCATTTTGAAAACTAAAAATGGTGTAGATTGTGTGCTACAGTATGCGATGGTTTTCTCAGGGTAGGTACTGAAACAGCTGGTTTGCGACTAGTCGGACTTTGACGAACGCCAGACGACTGACATCAGTTCCATCGAAATATCAATAAAATATCTGAGTCTCGCGAAAAAGATAATATGTGGCATATACTATATCTCTTCGATTATCATCATCACAAATCACAATCCTCACAACATTGAATTGAGTTGTATTGTTGTATTGATTCTACTGCACACATGATTCGATCCCTTCTTCTTCTTGTAGCTTACTTGGCTACATCTGCAATGGCATTTTCCAAGGCATCCTTTTACGATCTCTCGGCTACCAGATCGGATGGTTCCATCCAATCCATGGAAGACTGCAAGGGCAAGGTTGTCTATGCCACAAATGTTGCCAGTCGTAAGTGATGTGGACAAACCAACTAACTGTTTGTTATGAAAATACAACTGACTGGCTGACTGACTCCTTCGTTCGTTGGGACATTCTTTCTTTCTTTCTTTCTACGAATACAGAATGAGGTTTGACCCGCCGCGAGTATGATCAAATGAAGCAACTCGGGGAACGGTGGGGAGATGACCTAATGATCTTGGCGTTTCCAAGCATGGAGTTTGGGGGCCAAGAATTTTCGGACGACGCTGAAATTCAAGCTTTTGCGGAGAAGCAAGGATTCCCGGGTGTTCTTTTGAAGCTTGGGAATGTTCTTGGATCCGACGCACCCAAGGTGTGGCAACACTTGAAGACTGAGACTGGTGCTGACGACCCGGACTGGAACTTTCAAGGCAAGTTCCTTGTGGACAAGGAGGGCACAGGTAAGAAACGAAGATGGATAGAGTCCTCACTGACGGCCTTTGTTTGTAACTTTTTGCTTTTTCTGTACCGTCGTGCTGATGTGTCATCATTATTACAAAGTCTCTGTTCCAGGCGATGACTTGGAAAGTGATATTGCTGCGTTGATGTAAAAAAAGAGCTACTGCTAGGTGTTTGGAGAGTACGAATATTGATATTATTGGTCAACGTGAATGACAAAGTGTCTACCACTTTTGAATCCTGTAGTAGTATGGGGACGACGAAATACCAAATAATAGATACAGTACGAGTACAATAAGAACTCTACTCCAGCCACGACCGAAGCAGCCACGAGTATAGCTAGACTATACTATACTATAGTGATAGTTGCTTTCACGTGTCTCGATCTACTTCTGAAACAAGTCAATTCATGGGTCTTGGCATACTATTCTAGCTAGTGAAGTCCCGAAACCTTGAATCGACTCGTCCGAACCAAACCACGACTCCAGAATCTATCTTTGTCAACGCGGCACGTGGTGGTGAGGATTACGATGGTATTATACAATACAATAATACGACAAGACTCTTGGAGATTCTTACTGTCTACCGGTACGTATTGGCATTGTTTCCTTATTCTATTTCCTCTATTCTATTCTCTGACTTCTCCCTAGTCGGCATATAACAACCAAAAGACCATGACAGCAGCAGCAGCACCACCACCACCACCAGCGGCAGCAAACAAGACAACTTTGGCAGTCATCAACGATGACGAAGAGACCAACCTCAAGGAAGCTCTTTTGGACAAACCTTCATCCGAAGAATCATCCTCCACGCTGGCTCCTGGACAAGTAAAAGAAATTGGTGACTTTGCTCATTGGGGTCCTTGCAAGAAATCCATTTTCCTCATCGTCATCATGTGTATGAATTGTGTCACAGTGTGGAACATCATTGGTCCGTATGTGGAACCCAATCAAGTCTTGCCATTGGTGCCGTTGTCGTCCACCCAGCATGCTTGGGCGCACACTGATAACGAAGAAGAAGGAGAAGACGAAAACAGTGATGCCGCATTCCTCATGGACTTTGAAATTGTCAAAATGGAAGACGTCCTAGCCGCAACCAATCACAATCACAATCACAATCACAATCTGAGCAATCATCATCCATCCACTACCACTACCACAGGAGGAGAAGTCCAAGGCCCCATTCCACCACCCTTTCATCCCCATCATTCCGCTTCCGTGACGTATTCGTCTCGGATGGGACCCGACGGCAGTGTGGAATACCGCCGCGACATTAATGCTCCTTGTGAATTTGGCATGCTCATCTTTAGCATCGGCCCGGCCAAGGACGAATTGCCCTATACCTACGAACTCTACAATGATGCTTACCTATACAGTGACAACAATGGACTTTGCATGTTTTATCCCAGTTACAATGGGTATCAAACATCTTCGAGTCCACTGCAGAATCCTACCGATCCACTCCAAGTCATATTGAAACCATTGGACAAGAGCATTATGCATTGGATTTCAAGTCGAGTCTTTGATCCTCATCGCTCCAAGAAGACTTATGATCGAACCAAGGTGGGAGATTTTGCCATTATTGCCAAGTACAACTTTTATGATCCCGGTTTCTACAAGGGACTCAAGGCATCTATCAATGCTTGGAAATAGGTATCCAAAGCATTTGGGTGGGTGAATGAATCAGTGAGTGAATGAATCAGTGAATCAGTGAGAGTGACGATTGGTACTGTACCAGTACTTCTTCTTTTGGACCAACGGATTATATGCGGGCAGTGCTACATATATATATATATATGTTGGGATCAATCAATCATCACCATCGATGGAAGAAGGATGACGACTGCGATTCGTTGAACCCCAAGAGGACGAGATATAGTATAACACTTCCAACTACAAAATACAATAATTCTTCACTTTTTAAATAATCTATTTTTGAATAGTCTATTTTAATGTCTCTTTTCAATGCTTGATTATTGTGCGATGAGAATTATGTAGAGTAAGCTACTGTAACTTTTTTTTTTTTCAGTTTCGATTGCACACAGAGCCAAGCAACCAAGCAACCGCACAATATACGACAGACGGAGGAATCAAACAATTGCCTGTTGCGCCGACAAATAAGTGTTGATTGATGATATTGAACTAGAGTGAGTCGATGGGACTGACTGATTGATTGATTGATTGATTGATTGATGGGGTGGATTGTTGTTGTTCGGTTTTCTTCTTTGAAGAAGAAACCCTTTTACTGGAGAGTGCTTATTGGTATTTTTGAAAATAATACCGTTGCTTCTATTCATTCATTCATTCATTTATTGCCTCCTATAGCGCCCTCCTTTCAAGTTCCTTGCCCCAAGGAGCGATATGAATATAGTATGGATCCCATTCCATTCCATTCCATTCTATTGCAAGAACGAGCAGAAGCAGCAGCTGAAGCTGAACTCATCGGAAGCATTAATATTCATAAGGAACCTCGCATGACGGAATGAACGAGTCAGTCAGTCAGTCAGTCAGTCAGTCAATCCATCAATCATCCACAAACAGAAAGTTCGTAGTATCTTTGTTGGAGCGCAATAATGAGAAGTTCTGTCTATACAGTATGCGATACTCTTGGCTGGTTCTATGGCACATATCGGCTGGTTCGATGGCACAAAGGCCAACCCATTAGGGTACACCCACCAGGCCAGGTATACTGAAGAATACAGGACTGTCAGAGACCACACAATGAAATACAGTACTGTACTGTACCGTAGTATTCCAGAAAGCCAATAATGCCAACGCCAACGCCAATGATGATTCTTTTTCCAGAACCGCAAACGCTCCATGATTTCATGATCAGAATGTGTGGACAATAATAGTATCATAACAACAACAACAACAATAATAATAACAATAATACATATGATAATAGTTGTATCCGAGTAAGATTGCCCAAGATTAAAGTGGGGCATATATATACATATATATCTATGCCGTACGTTTGCATGTGCCCCCTGAAGTGCAATTCACGAGTGACTGAGTGAGTCCCTCACTCTGAATCCATCACCACGTATGAATGAATCATTTGAGAGTCAACCTCTTTTGCATAATAATCGTACACTACAGGTACTGTATGATATATGAGATATATATGTGAGTATGCCCCGTGCGTTTTAACAACTCAAGTCAGTAGGCCATATACCGTATAGTCATACTGGATCTTGTCCAAACTTTTGGATCGCAAAAACTTGAGAAAAGTGACTTGGGGTATGTCACAGTCACTTTCTCTTGGTGGTCCGTCCAAAATCTTCCGAAACAAGTTTCTACGGTAGAGCCATATAAAAGTGCAAGGAGATAGAAACGAAGAGTGAAACGACACGTGATGCATCTGCTTCCACTTATAGGATTCGGACACTTAGAGAATACTAATTAGGACCCAAATTTGTCAACCAAGCTCGCCCATTCACGAACGCCGACATGTTTGTGTAGAAACAGGTAGAAATTGTACGGGCAAAGGATCGATCTTGACGGTCGTTCTCCGATCAAAATCGGTATCCTATTTAGGAACTAACATTAAATACTGGGATGGATTGCTATTATTTTGGTTAGAGGACCCAAGTTTCTGTGCATTCGGTTTTGGGCGAGTCAATTTTGCGACGGCACTCTTTATTACTGTACGGCATTTCAGGTACGTACAGTAGGGTTCAGCCAACGTGAAGGTCAAATTGTGCTTACGTGAAGTTCGAGGTACGCCCACGTAACCTTTGGCAATTCAAATCTTGCTTGGCCTTAAGTAATTGTGCGTGTTTCGCTCATGGAGAGGTTCACCCAAGCCTGGGTTTGTGGGATTCTCCGGGTTTTTGTTACGAGGAAGAGGTGAATTTCGGTTTTTTGGCTGTGGCTGCCGCGGCTGCGGGTGAAAAAAAAATATCGTACAGTACCAGGGTACCCGGTAGCCAGCGGCTCAAGCGTGCAACAGCAACAGCCACAGCACAAAAGGAGTTCATAAAAAACAGATTGTTCTTATTCTCTCCACCTTTACAATACGGTAGAAGAAAGATGAATTCCAAAGCAACTCTATTTCTAGCTGCTTCCTTAGTAGCGGGAACAGCCTCCGCCGCTTTGGATTTTGGAGACGTTGAGGAAGTGGTTCCAAAGTATGATTACAGCACTGCACCAACTGGGAATGCTCGATGTGCCTTGGTTTCCATTGCCATGGATGAGTCCGGTTCCATGCAAACCGAACAACAGTTCATGCAGGAATACGCCATCCCAAGAATGACCAACCTGCTCTACTCACAGGAATACCAGTACGATCACGTCTTTTTCTGCAGTTTTGGGTTTGGCTATTTGAACGCTCCTGCAGGTAACTTTGGCTTTCGTGAGCTTGGATGCACCGTGGGAGTCAAAGGCTTTTCCGGTGGTTACGCCAATGCTCTTCATGATTCTAGCGTTGCTGATTGGCAAAACGCCAAGTCAGGCGATGGTGAAGATAGTTACAACGCCATTATTGCTGGAGTAGATGCTCTTCCTGAATCGATTGTGGGAACGAGTGGAGTCATTAACATCAACCAAGACTGCGGAGTCTTTAACAAGAACTTTATTCTTGTCACGGATGAGGTATGTATTGTACTGTATTGAACTGTACTGTATTGTATTGTCTCGTTGTCATGCTTACTGCTTACTGCGTTGCACACGATCGTTCTAACAACTATGGTATTCTACTCTACTCTACTCTATTCTCCTTTTCTCTATTCCAACTCCAACTCCACACCAACCAATTCACACTACTGTACCGGTACAGGACCGCGATAACTTGAACCCAGCTGCCACCATTCAAACCGTTCGAGCTGCCATGGCCAACAATGGTTACATCCTCAACGAAGTTGTCAACGTCGACATGGCCATCCCAGACACGGAAGAAACAATTATTGGTTTGAGAGTCAACTACCCCGAATCCAATCTTAATAATCCAACCACAGCGGAAGGAGACTGTGTAGATGATCCATTTTTTGGACGAGTTTGTAAGGAAGTTGAAGTCTATGACATTTCCAACGAATGGTTCTCCACCAATGTCCACAGAGAATCTGGACATTCCGGTGCCTGGACCACACAACTCACCGACATCCCTCCGGATGGTTTCTACGCGGATGGATACAATGGAAACTCTCCCCAACATTACGTTCCTCTCATCCAAGAGACTCGTGGAGCCATCTGGTCCATTCGACCTGTTCGTCAAGCCCTTCGAGACCTTGATCAAGTTGCCATTGAGGCCTTTGCCGAAGCCTTTATTGACATCAAGGTCAACGAGATTGACTGTGTAGGCACTTGTGTTTGCCTAAACCCTCCCTGCCGTACCACAGAGGTAAATGGAGACCCGCACATTACCACCTGGAGAAACGAGCACTACGAATACCACGGACAGTGCGATCTAGTCATGCTCAAGAATCCTTCCTTTGCCGATGGCATGGGAATTGATGTCCAAATCCGTACCAAGATTGTTCGATTCTGGTCTTACATCAAGAACGTTGCCATTCGCATTGGCAATGATATTATTGAAATTGAGGGCAATGGCGACATGGAAGATCCAGAAGCCAAATACTGGGTCAACTACGAATACCAAGGAGATCTGGATCGAATTGCTGAATTCCCAGTCACTCATGAAGCTTCTACCAACTACAAGCGCATCTTCAAGATTGACTTGGGATCCAAGTACCCTGGTGAATTCATCAAGATCCAAGTCTACAAGGAATTTGTTGCCGTCAAGTTCTCGGGTGGCTCTACCGCCTTTGGAACCTCTGTTGGTTTGTTGGGAGACTACTACTCTGGCAAGACCTTGGCTCGTGATGGAGAAACCGTCCTCAATGACTTTGCCGAACTCGGACACGAATGGCAAGTTCTTCCAAGTGAACCCAAGTTGTTCCACGCCATGGAACACCCACAATTCCCAGAAAAGTGCTTGGAACCTGAAGACCCACGTGGCGAACGTCGCCGTCGGTTGGCCGAGTCCGGGATTACTATTGAACAAGCCGAGGAAGCTTGCAAGACTTTGAACGATCCTCTTTCAAGAAAGGACTGTGTCTATGATGTCTTGGCCACACAAGATCTTGACATGATTGGTGCTTTCTAAAATATACTCTTGTTTTAGGGCAAAACCAACAACACATGGGGAAGGAACCAGCAATAACAAACACTAATCTATAGTATATACATATCCTAGGACTACTGTATCGTATTGCAACAAGTATCCTAAAAATATAATTATTATACAATATATAAAATAGTAGGACTATCTATTCCTATCACGTGCCATAATTTACCAATGCCAGATGCTCTTGATAACAAACATACTGTACAATTTCAAATTGCATCCTTTTAAAAAATGCTAGCTTGCTAATGTCGATATTATTCTTGTATGTATACTGTCTTCCTCAGCCTTTCATTCATCGTGTTTGCATCATCATCATCTTCTTCTTCGTGGCTTGGTTTGCGACTACCTAATACAGTATTATTATTATTATTCGTGTACTCGTGTACTTTTACAAGTGGCCAAAAATGTACACAGTTTAAAATTAATAGGTCTAATTATTATATATGTTCCACTGTAAAAAACACGAACCAAAAAAACTGCACAGAGAGATTTGAAACGAGGAGGGTTCACTTTGGCAAGATTGAGGTTCACGTAGAGCGTGCTGTGGATGGAAAATCGAAACTTCACGTAACCGGTGAAAATCCATTATAATATAAGTGTTCAACGGATATAAGGACATGCACCATAAGTGTTTTTTGAATCTTGTGAAGTTTACTTATAGTGTTTGGAGACTTTCGGGAAAACGAAGGTTTCCAGACTGCTTGGACACCACGAAAATCAATAACGTGCACATGAAATATGCGTGGAACTTGGAAACGCTGAGCGGCTTTATTCATTGACTAACTTTGGATTTCCTGTCGATTGCATGTCTTGTGTTTGAGAAACAATAATACAGTATACGAATCTCCAGCCAAGCAATTATTAGTAGTTCGGGCTTACCAGTACATTGACAGCAAACGACACACCTGCCTGCATTGCTATCTCTCCAACACTCGTTAGTTAGCGTTCAGACAGCACAAAACACTTTACCGCACAGCTTATTGTAGAAAGAACAAGAACAGACAAACAAAAATACCGCGTCTCAAAATATATTAGACCAACAATAGTCACAACAACAATACAAAACAAAACAAAACAATACAATACAATACACATGATGGCAACGAATCCCAATTCCAAGACACTCGTCTTGTCGTCCTTCGTTGTGCTTCTTCTTCTTGTAAACACAGCTTCGGCAGTTCTGGAAATCCCAACGGACAAGTTTGATCATTCCGCAAGTTTGACCGGAGTCGACGATTGCGCCTTGCTGAGTCTCGTGGTGGACGAATCTGGCAGCATGATGTTCGAACAAGACTTTTTGGCCAATCAAGTCATGCCCATGCTTGTCTCGGACTATCGAGTCAAGAATTACGATCGGATCTTTGTCTGTTCTCATGGATTTGGAGCAGCACAAAACAAAGAGACTGGTTTTGCCTTTCATGGATGTGTGGATGCCATGACATGGAGTGTTCCAGCAACTACGGATGAGCTGGCTGAAGTCATGGGCTCTTGGAGAGTCCTTGGTGGAGTGGAAGATCCTTATCTTGGTATTCTCATGGGGATTGAAAACACTCCTGCCACCATTAGCGGACACGAACTCACTACTACTTGTGGAACAATGTTCAAGAATATGATTTTGTTGACAGATGAGGTATGTGCATGTCATTGATTGATTATGCTACTCTATGTGTCAACACAATTTGCTGTAAAACTTGGTCCGCTCATTCATTCCTTCATTCAATCATTCAAACTCAATCAGGATCGTGATGTATTCAACGCCAATACCATCACAAAGGCGGATATCTCCACAGAGCTCGCAAATACTGGGTACGTGTTCAATGGCATTGTCAATCTTGACATTTCCTCTCCTCCAGATCAAGAAAATTTCGAGGCCTTGGGATTCTTTCCCAGTGACGATACACCTGGCAAATTCGAGTTCTTTGTTCCAGAGGGTTCCAATCTTGGTACCTACAGTACTATCTACAAGGATGAATACCTAAAATATCTGGATGAAGGTCTCGAGGCTGGTAACTCGATTGAAGATTATGTCTCCCTCGCCATGGATACAAAAGGTGCGATCTACGATCTCGGCATGTTGCGTCTGGAGGCATCGGAAGCGGATTACTCCACTGTCTTTGTCAATTCGCTTTCCGATACTCAAGTGCGGGAAATTGAAAATGCGGAATCCTCTGGTAACCTTCAAACCGTTACCAATTTTGGTGACGGTGGTGACAAGGAAACCTCGGAAACGGAAACAGAAACCTCTGAAACGGAAACCTCGAAATCGGAAACGGAAACCTCGGAAACGGAAACCTCGGAAACGGAAACCTCTGACACTGCATCCAACCCATCTGTCTTGGGAGATCCTCACTGTAAGTTTCTTGCATACATATATACAGACGCATACACGCATACATACCTGTCTTGCCCTGATCATTGAATTCGAACGTTTTCAATTCGATTCTAATTCGTGTATTCTTCTATTCCATTCCATCCCATCTAATTCTTGTATTCTTCTATTCCATTCCATTCGATTCCACCCAAACAACAACTACTACTACAGTCAAGACTTGGCAAAACGAACACTACGAATTCCACGGACAGTGCGACATGGTCCTGGTCAAGGATCCAAATTTTGCCAAGGGTCTAGGATTGGACATTCACATTCGTGCCAAGTTGGTCCGTTACTGGTCCTACATTCAATCCGTGGCCATTCGGATTGGAACTGACATTCTCGAACTACAAGGATCCGCCGATCCAGAAGATTATTCCTTCCATTATTGGATCAATTATGAATATCAAGCCGAAATTGATACCCTCGGAGGATTCCCAGTCAAAGGTCACTCCAAAAAGGTCCATTCCCACAAGAATAGCTTTGAGATTGACTTGAGTTCGGCCTTTGGCAATGATAAAGGACCCAAGATTATCGTTTCCAGTTTCAAGGAATTCCTCAAGGTCGAATTTGAAAATGCTTCCGAAGAAGCCTTTGGCAACACGGCTGGATTGTTGGGTCATTTCAAGACTGGAGCCACTTTGGCACGGGATGGTTCCACAGTGTTGAATGACTTTACTGATCTTGGACAAGAGTGGCAAGTCATTCCTTCGGATGGACACATCTTTCACGAATCCTCCACTCCTCAATTCCCAGAACTGTGCATTGAGCCGGAGGATCCTCGTGGGGATCGTGCTCGTCGTTTGGCCGAGTCGTCCATTACGGAGGCCGAAGCGGAAGCGGTTTGTTCGAAACTCAAGGATCCCCTTGACCAAAAGGACTGTGTTTACGATATCTTGGCGACTCAAGATATGGACATGGTGGGTGCCTTTTAGGAAGTAGGTATACATGGCACACATGGCCATTTGATTTGGCGCATGAGGAATGAATAGAAGAAACTATTCGTAGTAGATTTCAAAGATCAAATAATAAATGCATATTTCTCTCATACCGGTAGGACTATCTCTTTTTTTCCTTGGCTTTATATATTTCATGCTTTTATACGTTGATACTTATAGGCAATGGTACCATTGGATCAACACGAGGGGCCAGTGTTGCTTCCGATCATATTATTGCTTACTTTCTGCTTCTCGTTTTACGAGCTGGTGCAGCCCTGGTGGAACGAGTTCGTTTCGCAGGAGATGATACTTCGTCGCCCTTCTTGGAAGACCGACCAGATCGTCGTGTGCTGCGGCTGGCAGTAGATGCCAGGGATTGGTCGTCATCGTCATCCTCGTCGTCGTCTTGTTCTGCTGCTTTCTTCTTTCTTCCTCGAGTGGATCGACGCGTTCGGCTAGCAGTAGACGTCACAGATTGAGTCTCATCTTCAGAATCATCAGCCTTCTTCTTGGCGCCCCTGGTGGATCGCCGAGTGCGGCTTGCTGTAGAAGCCACAGACTGGGCTTCATCATCATCGGTAGATTCTGCCGCTGCCTTCTTGGAACCTCTGGTGGATCGTCTGGTGCGGCTAACAGTGGATGCGATGGACTCGTCTTCAGGAATATCCGGGAGTTGCTTCTTCTTGGAACCTCTGGTGGATCGACGGGTGCGGCTGATAGTAGATGCAATAGACTGGTCATCATCCTCTTCATCATCGCTGTCTTCTTTCTTTGCACTCCTACTGGACCGACGCGTCGCACGCCGCTTGGGTTCTGGTTCTTCCTCCTTGACTTCTTCCTTGTCAGATTCTGCATCCTCCTCTTCTTCCACAGGATCCTTTACCTTTCTGGAACGAGTACTTCGCCGAGATGAACGAGTATTCTTGGAGCCCGCATCATCATCATCCTCTTCTTCGACTTCTTCTGCAGCCTTTTTGCCTCGAGTGCTTCGAGTCGAACGGCTTCGTTTTGAGGACGAATGGCTAGCTTCGGTCATGACCGATTGCTCGTCCTCGTCTGCTTTTGTATTTTCTTCCTCGTCATCGTCTAGTTTCGTATCTCTTTCCTGGTCGTCCATCACTGTTGTCAAAATAACTTCTGGCCTGCCATCTTGATCGGCTTCGGCATTCTCATCAATGACAGGAGGCTCGAGCTTTGCTCTGCTTGATTTTCTAGTGCTTCTGGTGGATACTGAAGTTTTGCTTCTCGTGCTTCGTGTACTTCGAGCTGGAGAGTTTTTCGTTACAGCTCTTGTTGCCCTGGTAGTTTTTCGCCTGCTGGAAGTGGATTGAACTGAACCTTCATCAGAGTCGTCCGCGTCATCTGTCTCTTTTCCTCGTGAGCGTGTGCTTCTCGTGGGTGTCGCGCTTTCGACACTTTCTGTAGATGCAACAGAACGGGAGCTTCGTCGCGTGGCTCCGGCAGGAGGCTTGGCGGCTGGCCCTTCCTCCTCACTTTCAGCTTCCTCTTTCGACGCCACTGACCGTGAGCTTCGTCGTGTGGCTCGGACAGGAGGCTTGGCGGCTGGCTCGTCCTCATCACTTTCGGCTTCCTCTTTGGATGCCACTGAACGGGAGCTTCTTCTTGTGGCTCTGGCAGGAGGCTGGGAAACTGGCTCGTCCTCTTCACTTTCGGCCTCCTCTTCACTTTCGGCCTCCTCTTTAGATGCAATCAAACGGGAGCTTTGTCGTGTGGCTTTGGCAGGAGGCTGGGCAACGGGCTCGTCCTCCTCTCTTTCGTCTTCCTCTTCGTCACTCTTTCCAGCATAGGCGACTTCTTTCTCCTCTTCTTCTGCGTCGTCTTCCTCCTGCTCTTGACCCACTTCGTTTTCGTTTTCTTGCTCCTCCTGGTCCTGCTCTCCTTCGTCTTCCTTTGGTACAGCTGGTGCTGGTGCTGATGCTACGATATTGGCATCTTCCATGGATTGCTCGTTCATAGCCTCGTCGGTCAGATTGGCTGTGTCGATCATTGGCGCATCTTCCATCTTCTCTAGATCCTGAATATCTTCTGCCATATCAGCATCGTCCGCCACGTAGCTTTGCATATCAATATCATCCGTGCTTCTAGCTTCGTCGTCCACCTGCATTTCATCTCCAGGGGCAGCAGCATCGCCCATCTGGACATCGTCTTCGTCCTCAACCATCTTGTCTTCTTGTGGCTCGTCGTCTTGCACATTTGATTCTGCCATTGCGACTTGATGTTGATCTCCTTCGGCCACATCCATCATGTCCATTTCGGTCTCGTTACTCTTTACAATGACCATTTGGTCTGCGGCATCTTCTGCAATTTCCGCTTCCAAAGGTACCGGTTCGTCACTTTGTTCGTCTTCCAGCGGTCCTTCATCTCCATCAATCTCTTCATCATTGCTTGCAACACTAGCAACATTCGAAACATCTGCCTTGATGTCATCGCCTGTGGCGTCGTCGGCAACATTACAGGTTTTATTATCCGAACTTTCGTTGATCACAGAGGCTTCTTTATCCTCCTTACTTCCGTTGTTATAGCCTTCTGTGGGGTCCTTTGTGGGCGTAGATTCTGGATTGGCGGTGTCTTCTTCAATTTTATCACTGGCAAGCTCGGCATTTTTCTCATCTGATTCTTCATTCGTTTCTGCAGCGGGCGAGATCTCAGCTTCTGCTGACGCTTCGGCTTCATCAATCGCAGTGGACGCAATATCATCTTCCGCAGTATCAATGATCGGAGCGGCCAGCATCTCGTCTTTTGCCAGAGCTTCGACTTCATCGTTCGAAGTAGAGACCAGATCTTCTTCAGGACTCTCAGGGATTTCAGCGGTTCCTGTCTCGGTAGTTTCGTCGGCCACAGCCGCTTTATTTGGTGCCTCTGTCTCAGCCTCGCCTGATAGCTCATCGTCGTCATTCAAGGGGCCTTGGACATTGTCTGAAGTTTTGCTTTCAGAAGCACCAACAGCTTCAGTGACAATAGCGACGTCATTGATGGATTTATCCAAGAAAGCAGCTTCCTCCTGTGCATCCGAAGATGCTGCAGTCAATTCTTCAGCAATTGCTTTTTCTTCTTTGGCAGGAGTTTCACCTTCAGCGCCTCCAGTCTTCTCTTCACCTTTGTTGTCGTCGTCCATAGCTACATCATCCTTCGGTGATTCCACATGTGCATCGTCTCTGGGAACCTCGGGTGAGTCGTCTGCAGTGTCAGCTTCATCGTCTGCTTGTACGCCACGGGCACCAAAACTAGCATCCATTGCACCCGTACTCTTGCTATGCTTTTCCTCCGTATCTTCTGGAGCAGTCATTTCCTCTGACATGTCATCCTCCGAATCTTTTGCAGGCTCCGCCTCTGCAGTTTCGGTGGTATACACAGTGTTCGATTCCGTTCCAGCTTCACCGCCTTCGTCGTCGCTATCGTCTGACTTTGATCTCTTCTTTGAATCGTCGTCGTCTCCCTTCTTGGTTCCCTCCTCGAAACCAACTGATTTGCCCTTGCCATCTTGCATCAATGTTTCCTCGTGCTGACGTTGAGCGGTTTGAGCGTATTGCCACAAAGTAGTCGTGTCACCTCGAGCTCTTGGTGGCTCTGGAGAGTACTTTTTCACTGGTGTTGGCCCGTCGCCATGTTCTTCAAGCTCCGAGGACTCTGCACCAAGATCTTCTTCCTGCTCAGTGTGTTCATCGTCAGCGTCCATGTCATCGGAAGAATTTCCCACTTTGTGATCTACTGGTTTCACAGGTACAATTACTTCTGGTTCCTCTTGAATGGTGACACGATTGGCTTCTTCCTTTTTCCGACGATCTTCTTCCTCATCCTCGGTGTGCATCGCTTCGGAAACTTCTTCTTCCGTGTATCCATGCGTGTCTTCGGGCTCATACCCTTCTTCAATCTGCGATGCATATTCGGTTGCCACAGCCATAGCATCTTCACGTCTGCTTGCTGCCGCCGCCTTATTGGCTGCTCCAGTGCCCTTCTCATCCCCTTCATCTTCAGTAGTATCACCTAAATCAGCTTTGCTTACAGACCTTCCCTTCTCATCATCGTCATCCTCATCATTATCGATGTCTTCGGTTTCGTCACTGTCGGCCCCCTTGTCTTCGGCAGACAGGTTTGCCGCAGCTAAGGCCTTATCTGGGGAGCTATCAACGGCTTCTACATCGTCACTGTCAGCTCTCTTGTCGTCGGCAGACAGGTTTGCCGAAGCCTTCTCTGGGGAGCTGCCGATAACTTCAACATCGTCCTCGCCGCCGTCATCAAACGACATACTGGGTGAGTTTGATGCTTCCATGGCAGCAGCTGCTCCATTGTCGTCGTCATGGTCGTCACCTTCATCGTCATCTTCTTCCTCACTTCCAACAGGCTGATCGTCGTCGTCGCCTCGGCTGCCTTCCTCATGTTGTAGAGGCACAAAAGGAGGAGCGAGGACCTCTGCTTCGCTTTCATCATCGTAGACATCCCCGGCCGAAGCGACATCATCAACATCTTCCTCCTCTTCCTCTACATCTTGGTCGCTGTCCGGAGCAATTTCTTCTTCTTCTTCTTCTGACGTGTCGTCCAGAACAATAACATCAGAGTCCCCACCCTTTTCTTCTTGATTGTCTTCGTCTGCATACTCATCCGCTTGGATTATCTCTTCTTCCGATTCATCGTCGTCATCATAGTCTTGAGCCACGTTGGTAGGGGCATACATGTTGACACCAAGCTTTCCATACGAATCCTCTTGTTGTGCGGCAGCTTCTCCCATTGTAGATTGGCCGTATCCCAAAGTCTCGTCCTCTTGCTCCTCGTCCGAGTGTACTGGAGCCTGGGCAGCAAAAAGAAGACCACTAATGCCCGCAGCCGCAGAGGGCGATGGCCCCACATCTTGGAATGGTTCTGGCTCTTTCGTTTCAGCAGGAGCTGCAAGTGGAGGCAGAGCATTTTGGGCCATGTCGTTAGCAGTAGTGCTGTCTTGCAAATCTCGCGTGGGAGCCTCCTCAGGTTCAATCAAGATTGGTTCCTCCGCCGGACGGTCCGTGTTTTGTAACAGTGTCATGAATCTGCGCAAATCGACCTTGCCACCAAATGAGGCATCTTGCATCTTCAAGGATTCGGGAATTTCTGGAATGCGAATCAAAAAGTCGGCCACCCATTGTTCCAAATTCATGAGCTTCCAATCGCCATCGCCAGGAGGGACCAAGCTGGGCCATTGACGACCAGTCTCGGAAAAGAAATACTCAATTGTGGAGGATCGCAATCCGCAAGCCTTGTAGACCAATCGGAGTAGTGTTTGTTGGCAGGCAATTTCCACATAGTGCACCTCATCGGGTGTCGCAACGGGACTCGCAACCATTTCATTGTGCAAGTCCAAGTAAAAGGAAAACATGGAATGCCGTCCCAAGGGCCCCATTTTTTCCGCCGCAAAGAACAAGAGATCGCGCTTACGACAGTATTCCGGAGAGGATACAAAATTGCGCTCCAAAAACATGTCTCCTTGATTAAAAAAGTGCTGAAAAATGGTCAACCATCCTTGGTCCACAGTGACTGGATCAAGGTTAGTATTGGATTCCAATAAAGAAACCAATTCAATGGCGTCTTCTTCTCGTTGCTGTTGTAGATACAATTCAGCCTGCACGATAACGGGATATCCAGGACTCCCAATACGAGATGGAATTTCTGAAGAGCGATCTCGTTTGCGTGATTCGGCAACATCAGCAGCAGCAGCAGCAGCCTTCGGCGAGGACAAATCGGCAAGGTATCGCGTGGCCGATTCTTGACTGAGAAAGGTAGAACAAGCATGAATGAGTTTGACTTCCGCCGCATCGTCCATGTCGTCCGATTCGTAGATAGTTTCGAGAAGGTCTTCGCAAATGGAAGCCCGCAGAGCGTACTTGTTCAAACCATCGTGCTGTTCCAGATAGACTTGCAAGATGGCGTCGCTTAGTGGGGAGAAGCTAATATTGGGTTGGGACGACCAAAAAAAGGAGCAAAAGTTAGTGTACAAGACAAATTCATTCTACATTCGCAACCATCATGATGACCACGTACCCCAATGATACCAAGTACTTTTGAAAGAGTCCCAATGGATTCAAATCATCAATCTTGATGTTGCTAAGAATGCAGTGTAGTCCAAATAAAAAGAGTCCCGAGTTGGTATATTCCTTGGTGTATTTGAATCGTGGCGACAGTGATCGAAAGACCGATTCATGAAATTGATCCCAATTAATGTTTGTCGAAGTGGATGATGATACTTCTTGTTTATACAAGAGTGCAATCATGAGCAAGGTGCAGGGCAAACCGTGTTTACTCTCTTGCGTCTTGCTGGTCCTAGGGGAAGAAGAAGCCATCCGAATCTTTTTGGCTTTTGGTGGACCTTCTTCCACTGCTTCATTGCATTGATCATAGTACCCCATCCAAAAGCTAATCCATGCTTGCTTTGGATCAAAGGCTCGTCCCAAGTTTGGAACATGGGTGACAGAGGGGATCATCCAAGATACCATGGAATCCGTATTCGAGATATCTTCAATGACAGAGGCCAGATCCACGTAGACTCTTCCAGTTGCCGGATCGTCTTCAAACCAATTGCAAGACTCCATCCACGCTACTACGGATATCAAAAAGAAAGTCCGTTGATTCATTTGATTGCGATAGACTTTGCTGTAGGCTTTTCGATGCAATGATTGCAAGGATTTGGCGCTCTCAAGATCCACAATATCTGTTTTGGAGAAGTTGGAAAGCAAGCGCTTCCATCCTTGTTGTGGATCGTCTGAGGCCATCATCGTGTTGTCAATCTTTGTTGCTCCCCTTGGCCTTTAGTTTCGGTTGTTCTACTAATCCAATTGACTAGACGGCTGGATATTTACGGACGGCAAGCGCAATAGAGAATAGTGACTTTGCCAAGAGTGCAGAAACAGCCAGCAAAGTATACGGTATACTCCAGCGACAACCCCAATACCAATTATAACAACACGTACAGTATATATTTTGATTTCAAATGAGCTTACGGCGTGGTGCGGTCTTGCCGGAGTACGTAGCGCTCAAAGAAACCCGGACAGTTGTCTCGGGGGAATAAGAAATAATTTCGAAATTACGGGGATAATGTATTCGAATGTATCGAAACATATAGTATCGTATAGTATACTGTGCTTCATGGAGATAGTGGTGGCAACATCAAACTATTCGAAGCTGCTATTCACTCTACATTTACAATCTTTGAAGGAATACATGTCACCGTCATGTCACTTTGAGCAACACATAGCGCCAAGACGATTTATGTCCGATATTGCATTTGTCCGCGTTGCGAAGGTAGGTTGATGTATTATCGATGACGAAAACGAAGAGATCCGTAGACAGAAAAGCCACAATGATTGAAACTATAATCGCAGCGTTCTTTTATAAAATACCTGAAGCAATTGTATATATAATTTCTAACAAGTCCTAAGGACTTGGTTTGTTTGGTGGTATGCTTTCGTCCGTGTTGTTTCCCACCAAGAAGTTTTTGCACTACGTCTGGTGTATTTCACCGAGATCCCCATCATCGATATACGACGACTTTTTCGATGGTTCTGACTCATCGATCTTCTTATAGAAGGCCCCACTACTCTTGTTGTTGTCAGAAGCTTGACAATTAGCCTTTGGTGCCTCCTCTGGTGCTCGATTGCTGCATGTGAGACCAGTATTCTTCACCTCCCCCTGAGGTGCCTGGTGGTTGCTCGATGAAAAATCCAGCTGTAATGCTTGCGAATAGTTGACTTTTGCGAGGTTACCAATCATATTGGAACTCTTTCGAAGACTGATTGCCATTGCATTTTTCTGTTCCATAGGAGTCAGCTTGTTGTATCTTTGATGCATTCGAATCTTTGGAACAAATATCAGCAGCAAGACCACTGTGCAAAGCGCAAAAGTCAAAAATGTCAAAGTCAAGTAAAAGGCTTCGGGAATATCTTTGGTAACCACCACAATGGGAATACCCGTCAAGAAACCCTGCGCCAAACTAAACATGGTCCACCCAATCCATTTGGCTTCGGCAAATTCGCTTTTGATATCCCGTGCCGCGACTGCTTGCCAACAGGCAATGACCAACACGCAAAAGCTGACTATAATATTTTGATAGAAAAAAGCAAAGCAAGAAGATGCTCATGTTAGCTTTCGCGTGGTTGTGCATGAAACTGGTGGTCGCTTCTTGGCTTACCCATTCCCAGTGGGGCCACATAGGCAAGTGTATGTTCCGAACTACATGACCCATTGGAGGCTATGTCTCGGTTCCAGAGATCCGTTCCTGGAGCAAACTTGCGATCATACGTCAAAGGATCTATTATCGTCCAACACACCAGAATAATGACATTCAACGAAAACAAGAGGCAGAAGGGCTTGAGGACGTCGGCTTCGGTAATTTTGATTCTCGAATACGCCATATTGGAATTGAAAAACTGGTTGACTCGCCACGTCTTCGCAAAAAGTGCACTAAAGGTAATGGAGAATCCGCAAAATGCCAGCCACGGGATGCTCATGCAAATGGCCACAGCTCTCGTCTCGGAAATTTGGGATCCTTGATCATCAAAGGATAAGGGAATCAAACTTGACGCCATCACCAAAACTCCACCAGCTGTCATGGCTAAAAAGAAGGGCTGCGAGGCTTTGACGACTACAGCCTCACGATGCGTAAAGGTCCACCACATGAATATGCACGCCATCAGTGCAACGATACCGAAACCGGTAAAACCAATATACCGCAAATTGCCGAGCAGACTTTGGTCCACCGCCAATTCCGGCAACCTGCCAGGAACCAGATTGTGATTCAATAAGTTGGTGTGATATTGTGGCAATACTGCTTCCTCCTCCATGATTCTTTGGAGTACTTCGGGCATCAAGACGCCCGTGTCGTAGGTAGCCTCTCCAACGAGTCCATCAATAATCCCTCGTCCCAAGAAATTCATTTCATTTCCATTCCCGTCCACACTTATCTGTATTAAGCACGGAAGCAAGTAAGGGGAAAATGTAAGTTTGGCTGACACGAACGGAGGAAGCGCCGATTTGCACAAAAAGAAAGAGAGCCAAATCCTTGCAGTCGCTGCGAACGGTGATGAATAGCTTGCTTGAAATATAACTTACAATACTGACGTTCCTCCATTGATTTTGTTGAATCACTTGCGTAAAATTGGGGTGACGCGTAGGTGTTTGATACATGAATACTAATGCCGTGAGGTTCGTTTCCAAAATGCCTTGAATGACCCAGGGAACCTTGTCAAAGCCCAAAGCGGTAGTTCCCTTGTATTCGTAGATCGTCCCCCACCCCCACGCCGAATAATTCAAAGAAGGTTCCTCCATCCAATGGGCCTTGTCATCCCGGTTATTGTCCCTTTCAATTTCATCGATGAATCCAAGTGCACGTTCTTCGGAACTTGGACCGTTGTAAACCGTGGCGTAGGTACCTCCTTCCGGGCGCAGCTGCTTGAGAAGACGAGCCATGGCCCGCCCAACATCATCATTATTTGTGCCAATATAGGAAGCATATGGGCCAATGTGAGGTCCAGCAAACACAACGGTTGGAATGCCTGCGTCATGCGCTTCTTGCAGCACTGGTGGGTAGTCCGGTTTCGTATTGCATTTGACTGCGAATCCATCAATATCACCGCGAGCGATCAAATGACGCATAATAGGGACACACCAGGTACGGTCAACCTCTGGTTCCCAGGTGTGATTGAATTTCCGTAAGGAATCCGGGTGGGCATTCCAGATTTCACAGTCAGCTCCAATGGCAGCACATGAATCATTCCATCCTTGTTTAATGGGGTCAAAGAAGTTAGACCATCCAGTCACCAAAGCGTAACGATATGACTGGGTTCCGGTAGGAATGACAGTGAGGATAAGGGTGAATAATAATAGTGGTAAAGAAGAGAAGAAAAGAAGATTGGTCATCATGGTTTTCATTGATGCATGGCAACACAGTATGATATCAGTACAATAACTGGCACAATAATAACGGATCGCGAAGGATATTATTTTATTGAGCCACTGGCGTGAGCTGGACCAGATGATTCGAGGTTTTTTGAGTAACGCGACCACCTGATTTCGCGTGGTCGGAACTAGTGTGAATATTTTACCCGCATTAAAAACCAAACGGGCACCCACAGAAAAGAAAAGTCTCCCGTCTTCACTCTTATTTTTCCCGAGGATTCCCTTGATTCCCCGGCCGGGCGTGTGATTTTTTTCAATTTTACCGCGGAACTAGAAATTAGCGCGATCTCAGTCTTGTTCGGTGGTTTCGATTTTTTAAAAAAGTATATCACGGTCTTGCGGGACCTCGTGGGATCCGATGATATTTCTACGATGACTATGTGTACACGTACACTACGTGTACACGTACCAAGTTTCATATTCGCCACGATATCTCAAAGGTATTCATGATTATAGAGAGACGTGTGAATGCGGTCTTTTACTGTACCTACGATACGTAGTTACATTATTTTTAGACAGCAGGCGCTCAAAATCATCTTCTGAACCACACTCTGTTCCGGCAGTAACCCTCAATCACAATGACAAGGAAGTAGATGCAAGAGCAAGTGATGCATTATTTAAAAATTCCATCTTCTTGTCAAAGTGAGAGTAGCCCAAATATGAGGTTCCGCGAATTCATAGGTAGTGTACTTACGGGACTATTTTGATGTTACACCCATATGTTTTTCCAGGTTACTTGCCACTACTGTATCAAACTAGTCTAATCTATTATTCACTGTACATTTTCACCATTCTTACAATCATTTACAATCGTCGAAGGAATGCATACTGTATCATGCGGTCATGCCGTATATGCAAAAGGTCACGGCGATCGATCGTGTCACCCCCGTCATGCAACATACGGCCAGCAGCACGACGACTGTAGACCCTTTCGATGGCTTCTTTTAAAGTCTCCTTGTCCCATCCATCCACGTATCTGTGAATAAGAGGTACAATATTCACTCCGAGCTTTGGCTTACTGTTGTCACTCGGGTCTTCTTGGAATGCCATGACCCATTTAGGTTTCGACCAGGTGATGGAGCGCCGGGCACAAAGGGGCATTTCGTCGAAGGATTTGCTTGGACGAGTGGCATGAAACGATCTTAGGCGATGCGAATATCGTCAATGGCAATGGCAGCACGTGTGTTCTTGGTTATCAGTTCACCCGGTCCTGCAGTTGGGATATCTTTCTCCAAGATTTGGATCTGTTCTCCCAGGGCGCCGGGGGCAGGAGTCGATGTAATGGCCCAGGCTTTCGTATTTGTGCTTTCCTCTGTTATTTTTGTTCATTGTATGATCCTATCCGTGTGCGTTATTATTGCTCCGCGGTCTCACGACAACAAATGCGGTGTGTATCCAAACGCAATGCTGAACTGCAAGGTACCGGTATATACCGATGCGCACTCTTGTTTTTATCTAGTTGGAAGATTCTGCCTGGAAACCATCTGGCTAATGGTAAAATACTGCATGTTACTGTCATTGTGACAAATATATTTTGTAGTGCGATGCGGTTGATGGTATTTTTAATGTCCGTTACACATTTGTTCGTTATGTCCGTTGTGTCCGGTATGGGATTGAACACTAATGAAGGATGAGACGCAGCGACTACAATCATATGATAGTCGGCAGAATGCCACAATGGTTGGAAATATAATCGCGCCGGTATTTTTGAAAAGCTCAAAGCAATGGCATCGCATATGCAAAGTTCGAACCCGTCACTGACTGCATTGTAGCTTTTATAAAAAACATAAAAACATGTGTATGGTGGTTCCACCAAGTCAAGTCCTACTACGTGTGGTGTACTTCACCGAGATCCCCATCATCGATATACGACGACTTTTTCGATGGTTCTGACTCATCAATTTTCTTATAGAAGGCCCCAACCTTTGAGCTATCACCATTGTTCTTGTTTTTGTCAGAACATTGAGTGATGGCTTTTGCCTCCTCTTCCGATGCTTGATTGCTGGATGTAAGATCATTGTTCTTCACCTCGCCTCCATGAGATGCATGGTTACTCGATGAAAACTCCAGTTGCAATGCTTGCGAATAGTTGAGTTTTGTGAGGTCTCCAATCATATTGGAACTCTTTCGAAGACTGACTGCCATGGCCTTCTTTTGTTCCCTGGGAGTAAGCTTGGTATATCTTTGATGCATTCGAATCTTTGGAACAAATATCAGCAGCAAGACCACTGTGCAAAGCGCAAAAGTCAAAAATGTCAAAGTCAAGTAAAAGGCTTCGGGAATATCTTTGGTAACCACCACAATGGGAATACCCGTCAAGAAACCCTGCGCCAAACTAAACATGGTCCACCCAATCCATTTGGCTTCGGCAAATTCGCTTTTGATATCCCGTGCCGCGACTGCTTGCCAACAGGCAATGACCAACACGCAAAAGCTGACTATAATATTTTGATAGAAAAAAGCAAAGCAAGAAGATGCTCATGTTAGCTTTCGCGTGGTTGTGCATGAAACTGGTGGTCGCTTCTTGGCTTACCCATTCCCAGTGGGGCCACATAGGCAAGTGTATGTTCCGAACTACATGACCCATTGGAGGCTATGTCTCGGTTCCAGAGATCCGTTCCTGGAGCAAACTTGCGATCATACGTCAAAGGATCTATTATCGTCCAACACACCAGAATAATGACATTCAACGAAAACAAGAGGCAGAAGGGCTTGAGGACGTCGGCTTCGGTAATTTTGATTCTCGAATACGCCATATTGGAATTGAAAAACTGGTTGACTCGCCACGTCTTCGCAAAAAGTGCACTAAAGGTAATGGAGAATCCGCAAAATGCCAGCCACGGGATGCTCATGCAAATGGCCACAGCTCTCGTCTCGGAAATTTGGGATCCTTGATCATCAAAGGATAAGGGAATCAAACTTGACGCCATCACCAAAACTCCACCAGCTGTCATGGCCAGAAAGAAGGGCTGTGAGGCCTTGACAACCACGGCCTCACGATGCGTAAACGTCCATCCCATGAATGTGCATGCCATCAGTGCAACGATACCGAAACAGGTAAAACCAATATACCGCAAATCGCCCAGCAAACTTTGGTCCACCGCCAGTGACGGCAATGTGGCAGGAACTAGATTATGATTCAATAACTTGGTGAGATATTGTGGCAATACTGCTTCCTCCGCCATGATTCTTTGGAGTACTTCGGGCATCAAGACGCCCGTGTCGTAGGTGGCCTGTCCGACGAGTCCATCAATAATCCCTCGTCCCAAGAAATTCATTTCATTTCCATTCCCGTCCATACTTATCTATATACATATACAGACCGAAGCGAAAAGTGTAAGCTTGGCTGACACGAACGAAGGAAGCGCGGCTTGCAGCAGCAGTGTTATCACCTACAATACTGACGTTCCTCCATTGATTTTGTTGAATCACTTGCGTAAAATTGGGGTGACGCGTAGGTGTTTGATACATGAATACTAATGCCGTGAGGTTCGTTTCCAAAATGCCTTGAATGACCCAGGGAACCTTGTCAAAGCCCAAAGCGGTAGTTCCCTTGTATTCGTAGATCGTCCCCCACCCCCACGCCGAATAATTCAAAGAAGGTTCCTCCATCCAATGGGCCTTGTCATCCCGGTTATTGTCCCTTTCAATTTCATCGATGAATCCAAGTGCACGTTCTTCGGAACTTGGACCGTTGTAAACCGTGGCGTAGGTACCTCCTTCCGGGCGCAGCTGCTTGAGAAGACGAGCCATGGCCCGCCCAACATCATCATTATTTGTGCCAATATAGGAAGCATATGGGCCAATGTGAGGTCCAGCAAACACAACGGTTGGAATGCCTGCGTCATGCGCTTCTTGCAGCACTGGTGGGTAGTCCGGTTTCGTATTGCATTTGACTGCGAATCCATCAATATCACCGCGAGCGATCAAATGACGCATAATAGGGACACACCAGGTACGGTCAACCTCTGGTTCCCAGGTGTGATTGAATTTCCGTAAGGAATCCGGGTGGGCATTCCAGATTTCACAGTCAGCTCCAATGGCAGCACATGAATCATTCCATCCTTGTTTAATGGGGTCAAAGAAGTTAGACCATCCAGTCACCAAAGCGTAACGATATGACTGGGTTCCGGTAGGAATGACAGTGAGGATAAGGGTGAATGATAATAGTGGTAAAGAAGAGAAGAAAAGAAGATTGGTCACCATGGTTTTCATTAATGCATGGCTATACAATACATAAAAGGTAGTACTACTGGGTAGGATCCTGCTTCAGTTGGACGCAGCTGAGCGTGCGTTACCCACCTTGTTGACGAGCTGTTCTGTACGAGAACCTTCTGCTCTTGCGACATTGATATTTCTACGGTGACAATGGGATTAATGGATATTATTTTGTATATTCGGTCATTTTAAACAATGATGAGAAGAAGGTGATGGACGCTTTTATTGTAAAAAAAGACTTAAGACACAATTGTCTCGAGAAACCTCCTCAAAATCTACAGTACCGTACGACGACAAGAGGCGAAAGAGAGAGCAAGAATGATAGAATGAAGATGTGAATGGACGGCGGCTGCGACAAAACTCCTTGATCGGGAGCACAAATACCACCAAGACCTCCACGATATCCGTTGCGTGTGTCACATCAATAGAAAGGAAAAACTTGCTTAATAAAATGGATTCCACGGAAGACTTTGGTGTCAGAACTTGACGGTGTAGCGTGGTCGTAGCTTGTACCGGTACCGTTACCTGGTACCTGGGGTACTGGTACGAGCCGACCAAAGTGCCGTTCTTGGTGTCAAACATTGCCATAAACCGTCTAAGTAAAGGCCAACGCCAGCCATGACTCGTAGCTTTTCTACTGACATTTCTGTTAGCATTGCTATGAAGGATTCGTCAGAATCCATTTAGAGACTTCACATTAGGCATTTCATATTTCATATTTCGAGAGCATCTTTTTGTTTGTGGAAGCGTAACCGCACCCCACACCCCTTCAAAATCGTCACTAGACAAGAAGACTGCATTATAGTCGTTGACTGCAGCACCCACCGCAATCATCAACAACATAGATATACACCCGTACTCAAACCTCAACCCTCAATCACAATGACAAGGAACTACAGATACAAGAGCAAGCCGTCAATACACGATTCTAGATTGGGACCGTACGACATACTGTGTGGACGAACGAGTCATGCCTACAACAATGTCGGAAATCGAAGGTTTCGAGTCACCATTCGTATGTACCTTTTGCGATACCAGCGATTGCAATTGAGGGCAGACAGAAAGATCTTTATCTTTTACCTTACAAAGCTATTCCGTGAAGAGATTGGGTTTCGTTTTCTCAAAATGGAAGCAGGAGACTTTCATGACATTGGAGAAGTGGAAACACGAAAGAAAATTGTACGTTTCAAGAGAGTTATAATTGAATTGATCATACTGCACAGTACTGTAGTGATGCTCACATTCGACACTTTCTTTTCCACGCACAGGGCCATGCACTTTTGGATCAAACTGTAAAGCATCCAATCCAGGAGGCAACTCCCACGCCGGCAGCTTCAAGTTGTTCACCACCAGTGCTCCTACGCAAGGTGACGGACGTCCAGAAAAAGAAGCCGTTGAGGTCAATATTAAAGGCGCCACCAGTATCAATTCAATCTCAACTGATGGGGTCATCGTCATCGTTAGCATCATCATCATCTAGCAGCATGACTGAAGATCAACAGGTTCGAAGAGTCAGCTTACCGTTATCAGAGCCGTCACCATACCACAAGATTCTCCCCATGCCGAGTCGTGTACAAGGTGTCTCCAAGAAGACAATCGCCACTTATCCTCCTCCAATGAAAACGAAACAGTGTGTGACCAAGCTAGAGTCCGAAATTTGTATGCTATTGGTTGGGATGAACAAACAAAATGACTTGCCACCAAATCAGCAACGGTGTGCTGTCTAAGTTTTCATGATCATTCTATGTCCCAAATGTTCAGTTGTTTCATACAACACCTTTATGATGGTGCTAGTTACAGTTGTTATTCAAATACGTAACCTCATGTTGATACGCTTTTGTCAGGTGTTGAGTATCAATGAGTATCGGTATCAAGAAATTAGAGGGCGATGCGTCTGGTGGGCGTCGGAGAATGGAGTAAAATGTCTCTATATTATTATTATTCATCGCGATCGCATCGCATCAGTCATCATCATCATCATCATCGCACCAGGTACAATAATAGGAAACGATGCATCATAACAGCAACATTTTCGAAGCTCCATGACAACAGCTGACACAATCCGATTATCACTCACCATCAAGTGAAGCAAGAACGGAATGCCCAAAAAATGTTCTTCCTGTTATCATTGTCGTATTCGATGTTTGGTAATTACCATATTTTCAATCATCTTTGCCCTTGGTGCATTCTTTGCGATTCGAAATGAAATATCTCTTCAAGCATTGGCGCTTCAAGATCAGGCGGATGTGTGGCACCTACCATATCGAGTCAAGACACCAGCCGTGACGAATGAGTCTCAGAAAATCGCTGCACTGGAATCAGTAAGAGCCACTGACAGCAGCACATCTTCAACAAATGGAAAGCAAACCCTCGCTCCCTCAAACCATGGACTCGACGGATCATTAAAAGCTTCCATCAACATCACAGTCAATCATTTTCATCGATACGACGGAGTGGTGATTGCCACAAAAATCCATGGACCACATCAAATATCGCTGGTTTCCCAGTCCCTCTGCCTTCTTCAGAAGGCATACAACGCGAGGATGAATTACGATATTTTGGTATTTACTACAATCCCTCTTTCGAATTATCAAACTGAACAATTGATGCAACTGGTAGCACCTGCTAAACTTACAGTTGCTTTGGACATCCCCGTAGGAGGCTTGCAACAAATGATTGCCAACTTGTCAGAACAACGGAGGCAAATATTTTTGGAACGCTGCAAGGTCAACTCGGCCGACAACATCACTTGGTTTTCTGAATGCCCGGGACGTCTAGCTTATAACTGGCAGGCCGAATTTCGGACCTTGCACATTTGGAATCATCCAGCGCTGGCCAAGTACAAGTTCATGGTGTGGACGGACTCGGATGGATTTCCGACACAAATTTGGGACCAAGATCCAGTGGCACATATGATCGCCCACAATCTAGCTATTTTCTTTGATCACTTTCCACAGGGAAAGATCCAAGGCACGGTCCGCGACACGGTACTGCAGAGAATGGAAAAAGCTTTCAACAAGACTCTTTGCACGTTGGAGTTTGCCAAAAAGGGTCACCTTCGACCCACATTTGGTACTCTCAAGAAATGTCTCGAGCGGAACATTACCATTCCATTGATTCATGGTTTTTTCCATATCACCAACTTGCAATTTTATAGACGCGAGATTGTCTTGCAGTGGCAAGAGACGCTGCTTGGAGAGTGTTTCTTGTGCCGTCATTTGGATGATCAAATGGCGGTCACGATTCCTGCTGCCATGTTGGCACCCCGAAGATCCCGTGACATGCGTCGATCCGGATTGAACTTGAAGGTGTTTCACAATGGAGTGATGGACGGCCAACGTGACGAAAGAGTTGGTGGATTCATTGATTATTGGAAGGCCAATAAGAAGAATTTCCCCGAAGCCATGGGACATTGTCCCATCAAGAACAGTGGATAGCTATAGCCGTAAAGTTTTGCCACTTGGATGTTGCGGACCTATTGATTAGCCCATGATGTGTTTTGGATCCTATTCGCTCTGTAGACTAGTATCGTAGTCCTATCCGGAATGGCTGCATGTATTTTCTATTGGAAACCCACAGAAAATATTTTTCTGTAAATCAGCCATGTACACGTACAAAGCAAGACTTGTCGAAATATATTATATTTTATTATAACGTGGGCTGTTTCTATTTCCCAACAAATATATTAATATGTCGCGTAAATCAACAAAATATGAAGAAATAACGTGGTAAAAAAATTCATTAGGGAAATTAATTAACGACAGAGAGAAAGAAAGCAGTCCAAATGAATGATCATATCAATCATCAATCCTGACTGCGCAAATCGGCCTCGTTGGGGCAACAAACACTACCGGTAGTATTGAAACCTTTGGTGCCATTTGCATCAAATACAGAGTGGAGCAATCACTGTATCGGTCGTCAATGACTTGTATTGAAGGGCGGTTTTCCACTTCAGGTTGCCATTTCCAAGGGCTTTTGGTCGTTCGGTAGAAGAATCTATGGGCGGGACACTATTTCTTTACACAGTTACCGGTAGAGCTTTTAGTGCAAGTAGATTTTAAATCGAATCAGTTTTTGAACTTTTGATCAGAATGAAGAGGGGTGAAAAAAGGTGGAAAAACTTAATATTGTAGAATGGCTACAAAAAGTGCACCATTCGATTCGCAATAGTAATCGATTGTAGTGCCGAGTCAACTAGCTTCTAGAACATCGGTGTTGCAAGCATACGGGGGTAGAATGTTTGAGCACTCCTGGTGAACGGAATCTTAAAATTCATGTTGGTTCGGAGTGATCGTTTCTTGATTTCCAATCGAAATGAATATTGTGCTTGGAGATTCTAGATTCCATTTCGAAATTTGATTTGGGGTCTTATTTGGGGTCCTACCCAGGGGTAACAACTCCCAAATCATCTCAATACGAAGGAAATAGGATTTTGAAGAAACGCGGTATTAACGAAAATAACGAAAGCAGAAACTCGTGACGTTACGAGTACGAGACACATCTTAAATATATTATTTAGGAGCGTCATGTCTACTAGACCTCATTGACCAATCGCGATCCACTTCGACTTCGTAATGAAGTTCCGCTCTACGTTGCTCCGTGTCTGTGAAAGATTGAAAACGCGCCGAATAGCGTCTTTGAAAAGCCAATCACCACATTGTTGATTGGGGGACAACACACCTTGGACCTAACCCGGCCTCAATTGGTCGGTGATTCCATTCAGCTTTCGAGTGTTCTCATTGGCTAATAATGCGGGAAGACATCAAACATATAAAATGGATGGAGATGACGATGGATCCATGATGTCTTCGAGGAGGAGCTCGAACATGGAAGATGAATGAAACGAGATCCATGTTCACTGTGACAGATACCCCCCAAGGCATTGGCAACAGCTTCCTACGAAACTGGTAGCCGTTGATAATGTTTGAAAGCGGACTGATCATTGAGGGATGGTGATATGATCGCTTAACAGCATATTCATTCCAAAACGAGGCTCGAAATCGACTCAAGATTTTTTCAAGAGCTTTGATCGCTGCGCCTCGTGTCAATCTTATGCATGGCCTGAAAATATAATATGATTGGATCCTCCTGGTGTTGCATGGAAAACTGTTCGTCCTTTCAAATGTCTGTCCCGTTGACAGTGACGGCGGCAGTGAATGGGTTAGCATTTTTGTGGGGTCGTCGCTCCTAACAAGACTTGGAACGATTGCAACGAACGAATTTGCTGAGCGTCAGCCCGTGGCGTTGGTTTGCTTTCCATTGTCACTGAATGAATGTGGTATCTGATTGGAAGACGTGCCTTGTTTTCTGCTGTACCGCAGTCCTCTTCAATACCAGCCAATGTAAAAACGCCCATGCCAGTGGTACTGGTGCTATGGTGAATATTCTTCTTCGGCGACAGCAATTATTCCTTTTTATCTGGTATATTTGCCGTAAGATCCGTTCTCGAAAGCCCCAGCCAGTGATTCTGAAACTACATCTCATGACCAGTCCTCGTGATGTTTTCCTTCCACCCATCCATACAATGGACTACTTAATGTCGTCATGTTGATCCCGTGAGACGGGTCCGTTGATCCGGAAGGCGTTGTATCGAGTCATGCGGATGGAATGCTACGTTATCGCCTATGCCTGGAGACTTGAACGAGAATGCTAACAACAAATCATGCAATTGTTCCATAAAGAAGTGAATAGAAATCCCAAGTTGAAATCCCAAGTTGAAAGCGATATGCATTTCGGACTGATAGGAATGTGATTGACGACATGACCAGATATCAGAGGGGATTGTTTCTAGGAGTTCGAAACCTTATTGCTCGAAACACTAGCTACGCTGTATATACGCCGCAGTCTTTCGTTATGTACCAAAATTAGACTGAATTATATACAGCAATGAATTATAGCTCGAATGAATCGTTCTCAAGCCCTAACGTGGTAGCTAAGGTTAGCTAGCTTGTTTTATATCCTGCAGCACATCGGACAGCCAATACGTGGCAAGCTGCAGCCGATTGGTCATGCAGTGGTTGTCAAGGGCCGCGAGTCGAAAGGTCTTGTCATTTGACAAACATTCATTCGTGGAGAATGCAGCCCAGCTGATTGCATCCAGCTTGTCCCACTCACTAGCTCCGTTTTGGAAAGCCCCACCTTGTTTTTGGGACACCAAGAGCGCATTCTGCACAGCTTCGTGGAAGCGATCCAGCCGCGACTCTTCTTCATCCACGTCGTCTGCATCCTCCGACTGTAATCTCTGCTGTCGTTCCACTTTACTTACGTCTTCCACGAGTGACACCACAGCTTTAGCCATCTTGATGGCCTCGTCCAATGATTTGATTTCCTCCCTGTTGACAATTTCTTCGCACACCGCCTTGAGTGGCTCCTTGGGCGAGAGGCCTCCTTCAGGTCCTGAATCGTCGTTCGCGTTGGTCTGTAGGATCAATGCTCGACCAACCACTTGGGCTACCAAGAGAATTCCAAAATCATCTCCCATTAATCGAAAGTCTTGGATCTCTACCAAAGAAATGGTATCGTACAAGACTTCCACTTCACTTGAGCTCTCCTCATAGTAGGTGGTGGTAAGAAATCCCAGCCCAAACATTCCATGATGACAATCTACGGCTTGTTGAAAGAGGCGGAGTTCTTCATCTTGGGTGAATTGGAGATACAATTTTTCTCCTTGAAGGGCAACCTTGCTGACATCCATCAAATGAATCGGGAGTGATCCGACCACTTCATTGTCCGAATCATCATCATCATCGTCGTCGTCGTCGTGGTCGTCGTGGTGTTCTTCTATTAGCTTGTTCAGCGTTCGTGCTTCCTGTCTCCATTCTTCAATGCCGTAAACATTCGTGTTTGACTGGGCGAATTTACTGGGAGAGGAGCTTAGAAATGGGATTGATGTGAATGCCGATGATGCATGATTCAAACTCATCAGGCATAGAGCTGAGAGTAGAAGGCTTATAGACCATTTGAATAATACCATGATGTTTCTTTTGTGTCTTTTGATATCCTGTATATTGTTCTGTTCGTGCTATATGTTGAACGATCGTTACTGTTTGATGTGAAGACAAATCGTACTGTAGCTGACGGATGCATCTTCCACAACGACGAGATCAACAATCAATCTTCTTTCCTTCTGATGTGTTTTTGTTTCCAGAACTTCTGAACGAATTTCCCTGACACAGTCCAACGCACTTATGAGCTATCGTGATGTGCGACATACTGTATTAGGAACTGTCAACACCCTAAATATCAAAACCGGTTGGGTGACGTTAGTGGCGATTTGAGATTGGCATTTAAAATATTTTCAGTGAATCACAAAAATTCTGATTGGCTCGCAGACCACCGCGATTGTACCGTACTGTACCTTCTGATCTACTTGCTTGCGGCCACATCGCAGCACAGCGGAATATTGATGAAGTTCAGTATTAGTATCCTTAGTATCCCTTGTTTTACCATGGGATGGGTCTGCTGTTTTGTCGTCATTGGGTCAGGTACACTACCACGTCAGATCTAGGGTATGCTGCTGATGCCATAAAATTTGCTCGGAGTCAAATTATAACAACGCGCATGATCGACGACATAGGGTGATGAAAACTCGAACAAAGAGGCCTCATCCATGATACCGGTACCATACAGCCAGTGCAAAGGACGATTAATCTTGCCAGCCAGCCTGCCAGCCTGCCTGCCTGTAGTTTGAAGGACATTGCATCAGATGAGGCTGATTGATTGATTCATTCTACAACAAGCAGGGCGAAGCACGAAGGTTCTGTATCGAGACAATTGCTCGTCTTCCGCTTGTCAGCGCTTCGTTGTGCTAGCCCCTTTGCGGGTGAGCAAACTGAAGCATGAAGCATCAGCCCTTGCTGGTGGGCAAAGAACGAATACTTGAATCTGAAAGATGCCCACGCAAAACATGGGAAAACTTCTTATTGTACTCGATCTCCTCCTGGGACCGTTCAAGTTCCGACACCCATTGACGATGATGGGCTATATCCTCAAGCTTGCAACAACAACCTGAAATACGATATGACATTGTGAATTATCTTGCCAATAAGGCCGCACCCTCTCCACCAAGGCGACAAGCTGATACATTATTATCGCGTATCATATAGCTGATGGTAGGATCTTTCGCTGAATAATTGGATGCGCTGACTATCAAGTATACTTCGAATCAGAAGTGATGCGAATCTATCAAGGTATTGCTCCTTTTTCTACTACTTATGCATCAACTAGTAGTAGGTAGCTGCGTGGCTGCTGCGTTGAAAGCAGTTATTCTCAGCCCAGTTCCGTGACGTGACGTGTACCGCGACAACTGTTCCCTTCCGGTAGTTACTGTATGATCGTACCTACGGTACTGTCCATATCCATGTGCACAAGAATGCAATCACATTTGGTCGACTGACTCACAACGAAAGGCGTTCTTGTCACTTATATATACTGAAGCTTCGAAACAGATTCGAAAGACTTTTGTGACGAGATGACCCTGTCATACGGTACCACTCTGGATGGATCATTGCAGCATTACTATGGAGGACCAGCATGATCTCCATGCATACATTCTGTTGCAGATTGCTTAGCTGCCACGCAATCCTTTCATTTGACTTGAAGATTGTCCATGCATGGCAGCGCATCCCATGTCCATTCAATCCGCGGCAGCAATGGTACATCACGAAGATACTATTCACGAAAGTATTAGTTACACCATGATCTGGCTGCCGAAGATTTTGGGGCTGCTGCTATCGACATCGCCTGGAGATTTGGGATCAATTCTGGTACAGGCCAAGTCACTCAACATATGATAGAAACTATGTATTTCGAAAGCAGGCTCGTGTACAATAAGTCTGTGCTATGTTTGATAAAGTCATTAGTCATATGATAATAATATAATATACCGTATGCTTCCTAGCGTAAAAATCGCAGTGACTACTGTACTACTAATTTTGTTGGATGCAGATCCGACTAGTTGTGTCACTTCTTTGAATGAATGGACCAGCAACAGGACGATTGATTGATTGATTGATTGATTGATTTCTATCTTGAGGACATGTATTGCCAATTGACAACTGCCTTGGTATTGTAGAGCGAATGAATGAATGAAAATGCAGCAGCTGCTTGCTTTGCTTTCAGACCCTCCATGGGACAGGTCGATAGATTGACATTTGATTGATAGACCACAACTGAACCCGTATTGCTTGTACTGTAGTAGCAATCGACACCAATAATAATAATAATAATAATGATGGAAATCTAGCGCAACCTGTTTCCTTTTACTTGTTCTTTTGTTCCTTTCGTTCTTGTTCCTGGACAAGAGTAAATACATATCCCATCAGGGCAAAGGACACCACAACGAGTAGGATGAGCATCCATTGTTGAGTGGATTCGGAAACGAGTTTGGGCACTCCTCCATTATTATTGCCATTTCCATTTCCATTTCCATTGTGGTTGCCACCACCAGCATTGGTCGAATAGAAATCGTGCATGGCATGTTGGGCGTGCAAGTCGTCAATGGCCATGGCGAAGTACATGATTTGGATTGGAATGGAATGGATTGGATTGGATTGGATTATTGGTATGTTCTACAATCGTTGATTGAACAGGATCTTGATGTTGATGTTGATGCTGATCTTGATGTTGCGTGCTCACAAAATCCTCTCGCAATTAACTTCGTTTCGGTTCAACCGCCAAAAGAACAAACGAGCTGACAGCGCACACCGCTCACGAAAAGAAAAAGGAGAAGACATTCCTTTCTTCGTGAAAAAGTCACAGATCGAGCACTACCTACTTACTACTGTACCTACAGTTGTAGGTACTGTACCTGGTACTGCTACTGTACCTGGCGAAACCTTCGGTTTGTTTTTGGTTTTGAATTTCAAATTGGTTTGGATTGGTGGCAAAATCTGGCCTTGCGCACTCGTTAGATTCGAGCCGTTGACCATGTGTATGGAAAGAACAGCCTTCCCTCGCTTTTGCGAGGTTTGAATGGCGACAGAATGTCTCTGGGACTCGTGTTTAGAATTCATTTGAAACGCTTCAAGGCCCAAGCCTGCCATGTGCTGTGGCAGCTGCGCAAAACCGCACGTCCCGGGAATGACTCGGGTTCAAAACTCCGCGCCCAAATTCTGAGGCGACGGAAAATGTACGGAGATGACCGTGACTTTCACGTGGCGACAAAAAGCTGGCACCAGCTTCCGACCAGAAAACGCTCGTACAGATGCAACGGTTCGATTGGCGCCTAAGTGACTCGCGGTAGAAAACGGTAATTTGATTTATTTGGCCAGACTCCACGTAGATTGAGTAGGGAAATGTACCGAGGAATTGTATCCGTTAGGTCTGGCATCGATCGAGACGGGTCCATTTCGCGGGGATTTGAATTTATATAGACCTTAGCGCTTGGAGGTTGAGTATAAATGAAATTTTCCGTTCAGATGAAATTTATTACCAGTCGAATACATGTGATACGTTAGAAAGGGTGGGATCGAATGGGCGGCAAACCGCAGGCGGGAAGAGACATCGAGGAGCGGCGCGAAATTGGTGCTTACGCAGTGTCTTCCCTCCAAACCCACAAGAGTTGTGTTCCCCCCTCTTGACAACTCGTCGCTCTCACATTGTGTCATTAGGGAAAAAGACTTGGGGCATTGGGCAATCATTCATCACGCACCAATAGCCACATTCATCTATCGGGAATCAAGTCGATCGTTGTTGCTGTCGGTCAATCGAAAAGAATTCATCTAGTTGCATTTAGTTGACTTGACAGGCATTCAAACGAATACTTTCTTGTGGGGGAAATCAGGTTGTAGTGGAAGATTGAGCATTGAACTACGATACAGTGCTGATTTACGGAATACTTTGGCTGATTCAACAGTCAACAGTCAGCAGTCAACAGTCAACAGTCAATAATCAAGTCGATTGGATACTCAAGTTGACTGGAACAAACCATCAAGATACGTTGGATTGATTGCATTTGATTGCATTTCGGATTGATCGATTGATCTATCCTATCAATATCTCATTACATTGCACTCAACAAATACAAGAGAAGACACAAGACAAGATGACCTCTAGGATACCTCCAACTGAGGCTACGAACGAAGTTTCCACTTCAGCTGCTGGTTCTTCTTCTTCTTCTTCGGTACATGCGCAACACGATGACAAGCCTGCTGAGGAATCAACTGCTGCTGCAGCTTCCGCTTCCAATGCAGAATCCTCTTCCAACAAGAGCAGCGCTTCTCATCGTTCAGGGCAAGGGCATCCTCAACATGATCCTCCATCGGCTAGCTACTCGGAGCCATACAGCAAGGTCAGTACTTTACGTGTGGTGTTGGTGTTGGTGTTGTACCGTTCGTATTTAGTCGTTGTGATTCTTTTGTGAGCGTTGATTTTGGATCTCGAATTGGATCTGGATTTGAATGAGTCTGGGTTGGCATGGTATTGGTTGGATGAATGGATGAATGAATGAATTCTATTCTCCCTCTAACTACCATACCTACCACCAGCATGACGTCAATATCATCACCGCATCCGTTCCATTCGTGTGAGCGATGGGGGTTCTGATCACTTGAATCCTGGATCCAGCTTGTGTAACGCAAGTACCAGGAGACCCTCTTGTCCCTTTCATGTCATGGACTCCCTCCACTATTCTGGTTTAACAACTGATCCAATTCAACGCTCTAAGGACTACTTCGACTCAACCATCATTGGTGCATTTTTTTCGACACGACTACCAAACACCAACGGCTAGTTTCTCACAATGATGTTGCTCCTTCTTTCTTGCTCTTTCCCTCCTCTTTTCATGCTTCGGTGGCACACACTCGGATGTTCTTCTTCTACGATGACTTTGGTACACTTTCTACACACAACATTCGAATCCCATTCCTCTGATCATCCAAATCATCCTCTCGCGCCATTTTCCTTCCCGCCGCATACGCACACAATTTACATTTACACTTACAGTCACCGAGCGCACACTCTACTTCCAGCCCTCATCCATCAAGAAACAACCAAAACAATCCAAACCAGAGCAACATGGATCCACAGCTCTACGATCAACTCGACCTGAGTGAAGACATTGATGAGTCTCTGCTCTTTGGACAGTTTGCTGCTGGTTCTTCCTCGCATGAAGAAGCATCTCCAAGATCACCAAAGGCACCGCCAAGCGAGGATCGACGTCGACGATCTCCTCCACAATCTTCTACCTCTCATCTTCCAACACATCCAGCGTCCACACCACAGTCCTACTACCACCCACCAACGCCGTCCTACTCCAACCACCATTCGCAGCATGCTCAGTATCCTCACTATCCAACATATGCCAGAGAAGGTGGATCCAATTCCAGTAGTAGCATTAGCAGTCACTATAGACGAGCTTCTCCTCCCACTGGAACTCCGGGCGGCGGATCCAAGCATTCTTCTGCTGCCGCCGCCGCTGCTGGTGCTGGTGCAAGATACCCGCCTTCTGGTTATCCAATTACTTCCCCCAAGGGTCGAAGTGGAGGAGGAGGAGGAGGATACTATCCCGGATACCCACCACCGTCCTACTACAGTTATCATCCAGAACAATGGGAAGGGTACTATGCCCAACCACCACCTGGTCCTTTTCCAGAAGAAGATGGGATTCCAGTCCCGCCTTCCTCCAAGAAGACTCGACGCGAACATGATTTGGATGTGAGTCGGACTCCCGAAAAGTTACCAGCCAGGAGTCCATTTCAGTCTCCCGATGTATCCTCCAAGAAGGGATTCTTTCGAAGATCTCCACCTCCCTTTCAGCCATCGCCTGGTCCGTTCTTTGGTCCTTCTGGAAGCTTTGGAATGTTGGATACGCCATCGCAAACATTGCCACCGTCCGACTTTTCGCCACTGGGCGCTCAGTATACTTCCAATGGGGAGTTCAATTTGGAAGACTCGACCCTGTTGCCATACAATGCATCCAATCCTACCTTTTTGGACTTGCAAGATACTCCACCTGCGAATCGTCGCAAGCCGGAAGGATCGCCATTGACCGATTTCATGTCGTCCACCTTTGACATGAAGTTGCACAATACAATCATGTCCTCCAAGTCTCCATTGGTCCTACAGTCGGCGGAGAAGGCAGCGGCAGTCACTCGGAGCAACTCCAACAAGAGACATCATATGGATGCTTCTGGAAAACCAGAACCTCGAAAGCTATGGCCCAAGGAGGATGGTCCACCAGCCGGTGATGCCAGCGGTGGAAGTCGATCCTCTTCCAAGAGTGCTGGGGCTGTTCGATTGGAAGTAAGTACGACCATTGCTTGCGTTTGTCTGTGTATGATGTGAAGTTATTCCTTCATGGTTCATTTATTGATTGATTCATTGATTCATTCCTCTGACCAATGCTTTTCATTCCTTTCCTTTTTCACTACACCACTATTAGATTGGAGGTGCTGGATCGCTTTCGACTCGCAACAAGTTGGACGGAATCAACAACATGGTCCAATCCACTCCTTCGCGCCGACCACAAGGCTATGATATGCATCCACCGCCACCGCCTCCGGGATACCACCCATCCATGCATTATGTTTACCGTGAAGACATGGCTACACCCATCAAGGGAGGACACTACCGTCCTGGACCACCACGAATGTATCCTTCCATGCCACCAAGCATCACCAAGAAGAATCCATACTCTCCTCATCCCGGATCCGGCTCCAAGCCTGACTATCATTCGATGGGTGGTTCTGCCAAGGGACCTCCTCCCTACTTGAGACCATCGCCACCGAACTCGTCTCGCAAGTCGCCACCTCTATCTACTGGAAAGGAGAATGTTGCCAATAGCGGCAAAAAGGGCGGACCTCCAGGCAAGAGAAGTCCATGCAACTGCAAGCGCTCCAAATGTTTGAAGTTGTACTGCGAATGTTTTGCTGCCGAACGATTCTGTGACGGGTGCAACTGTAACGATTGTGGGAATACACCCGGTGCCGGCCTTGCACGTGATAAGGCCATTAAGGAAACACGAGCCAAGAATGCCAATGCCTTCAAGAAGAAGTTTGAGAAGAATACTCAGTCTGTTGGGCACAATATGGGATGTCGATGCAAGAAGTCGGCTTGTCTTAAGAAGTACTGCGAGGTAAGCTTGTCTGATACCATGTGCGATGTGATGTTGCTGCATGATTTCGCAAGTTTGCTCACCATTACCGTTTGCCATTACTTTGCTTTTTATTCTACAGTGCTTCCAAGCGGGTGCTCTTTGCGGTAGCAAGTGCAAGTGTGTCGAATGCATGAATTATGCTGGATCTCAAGCATTGATTGACAAGCGACGCAAAATCAAGGATCAGCGTGGTGCCGACTTTGCCATGAGGGTCGCCGATGAAGCTTGGAAGGGCAAGCCACCCGGTCTGCCATTGAGTGCTCGAAAGGGTAACCCATACCCCAATCCGGGTCGTCGTTACCCAACTCCATCTCCCATGGGAGCCGGAAGAATGCCTCATCATATGATGCATCCTGGTGGTCCTCCAAGAGGACCGCCGTCACATCAACATCAACACCACCACCATCACCATCCACACTACATGGGACCGCCCATGATGATGGGATACCCACCGATGGGCATGCCCATGACTCCTGTTGGATACCATCCACATTCAGAAGCTCATGGAATGTACCCACCACCTCCAGGCCCGCCACCCCCGAGTTCGCGAAAGACACCGGGACAAAAGAGTGTGGCGACACCAGCCTCGGCCGAGCCCAAATCACCACCAGTGAGAATAAAGTTCGACCCTGCAACCAGCCGAAAGAAGCGCAACACAAAGGCCGGAGAACCTGAACCAACTCTACCTTACTTTGGCAGTACCATGCCAGCACAACCCAAGACCACTGCACTTGCTATTTTCTCCTTTTTGTCCAATGACGAAATCTACAACGCTGGACTTGTTTGCAAGAGTTGGTCTCGACTCGCAGTCGACGAAGAACTTTGGAAGATTCAAAGTTAGGCATGGCTTCTTCTTATGAAGAATATGATCATCCGATTTATTTATTATACTCATTGTTTTGAAAACAATGAGACATACAAGAACAACGACAACAACAACAACAACAATACTACAGGGAAAAGTGACACAGCCCAAGCTTTTGGAAAGCTTGACCTAGTGCACTACTCGTGGGCAACTCACTTCACGATGAAGTGGCCACCACTACGATGTATCCAACTTCCGTTTGGGGATTTATTTATCTTAGTTTCTAAACTAATATTTTAGGAATGTTGGACTTTTGAATTATCGTGATGTACAGTATATTATAGTATCATACCGTATTATTAGACTATCGTTGCGGGTCATCATCCAATTGAGACTTGATGTGCGCTCGCATGGATCAAGGGAAAAGAAATGTTGGACGTTTCGAGCAGATTTACCGTACCTGGTACCGTATGAGACTATCATTGGACTTGCATTCCAACTGAGATATAAGATTCTATCATTGGATTAGCGTACTGTATTACCTTTTAAAGGGTATCATTGTGCGTTCGTATGGATCAAGGGAGAAGAATTGTTGGATGTTTCGAGCAGAATTCCTCACGAGCAGATGACCTGCTGTACCTATTTTATCTATCTACCGTATGAATCGTTATTTCTTCTGATGTGAAGAATGGTTGTGGTCAGTCTTGTCTCTTCTTATCGTAAAGAAGAAGACGTTGCTGTACTGCGATTCGCATTCGAATCCTCGTGTCCTGGCCAGCAACTACGTCAATACGAGTGGCCTATAAGATCTAATGACGTTGCGGATTGGTTTCGAGGGAATACCGGAAGAGAGGAGGCTAAACAGCTGCTGTGCGATGCGAAAAAAGATCTCTTTGTTGTACCGGTATCCTTTGAGAGACACCACTTTCTTGTTGAGGAGGTGCCGTATGCTTTTCTTTTGTGGTTCTTTGAACTCAAGTTCTGATCCATTCCTCACCTCCGCCTGATGGCGGAGAACCAAGCGAACAGTCCACGTATCATATATAATCTCTCGCCAGTTGGCGTGACAGACCTTATCACCCGAAGTGCCGCTAAATCTCTCGAAAATGACCAAAGGTTCAGACTACCGGTAGGTTCGGATCTTTGGGTTGTTTTTTTAACGGATGGTGTCAGAATCCGACGAAACCATTGACATCTGAGTTCGAATCGTCATTCTCTATTGACACCTTCTCTCGACAGCAACTCGAAGAGTTTTTTGGCTATTGGATTTAGACACCTGCGTCGATCAGAGGCTAGATAATTTGTTGGAAAGCAAGTCGCGTTTTTTTGGTTTTCGAAAACAATTGGCTGCGAACGCGTGACTATTATGCTTGGCTGTCAACTGCACATATGTCGACTGTCAACTGTCAACCGATCACAATCAGAACGGAGTTGATTTGATTGCAAACAAACTGACAACTACCTTCACACTCTTTTGCTTTTGTAGACAACCAGCAACTCGTATCTACAAAACAAGGCCCTTTCCTTTACCCTTTACCTATCTCGTTCCAATCTCAGTGCGGAAGCGTTCTGAAGAAATTTTCAAACCGTTGAATCAGTGACATCCAAAGTGTCACTAATACATCCGGTTGCCGGAAAACAAACGAACTCCTCATATCAAACACAATCACAAAACTAGATTCATGCCAAAGTCAACACAAGCTAGACTCCAATACCATGATTTCCATTGTGGACACCGAGGAGGACTTGCTCCTTCTCCCTCCACTCTTCAAAGCATGCGAAGCACCACAAATTTTGCCACATCCATGTCGGCACCTCCTCGAATGGTTTCCTTTGAAGATGGGCATTCTGATGCTTGTAGCTCCTCTTCTTCGGACTTGGAACATGTGTTAATGCCCTTGCATCAATCAGCAGAACAACATTCTAACTCAGAACAAACACGCGGAGAGGGTACCAAAGAAGTACGACTCTGCCGATCCACCTCTTCTCACAAACCACGACTCCTTGCACGACACATGCCCAGTCTATCTCTTGTGGACTTGGCCAATACACTTGGAATGGATGATGCCAACCGAGAATCTGGTCTTCTGTCCCCCAGGCGCCCTCATTCGGCACCAGTTTCACCTGTTTCGGGTGTGGCCTTGGATCCTCAGCGATGCCTAGTCTCAACCCCCACATCGAGTCTACTCCCACCAGCCATGGAATCTTCAGCTGAACCATGGGGACACTTTGTAGACATGGCCTTGCCTGATAAGCAACTACGAAGAGTACTACCCAATAAGACTGTTCCTCTCAGTGCCCGGGCTTCTGGCAAGTCCAACAATCGAAAGAGACATGAACGAAGGGCAAATCCATATGGCGACTATTACAAGACCAAGCACCCGCTATGCTTTCAGCCCAACAAGAGTAGACCTGGATTGGATTTCGTAGTTCCATTTTCTGAATCACTCTTTCAGCTACAGCCACGGAGCTACAAAGAACCAGCAGAGCAGATTGTTGGAGACTTCGAACGTCTTCATTTTCGCTGAAACATCATCAGCAAGGCTTGCTTGCACGTTGGCTAATTATCAGCTGATGAAATACGATCACACCTTTCCAGCATACGACAATGTCACCACAATTATCAACACTATCACCACTTGACTATGAAACCATTGCATCATCAACCGCACAACTACATTCATACACGCTTGGGATTCTTATTTTTGAACATCGAAGAAGAAGAACGAGAGCAAGATAAACCTTGTATCGCTAATTCCTTACCAAGAAATATAAAATATATATTGGGCTATAATAATAATAATAATAATAATAACAACAACCCGAATTGCATCTTTTATCCTTTTTAAAAAACCTAGTCCATCCATCCATCTATCACAGTACCACCTCACCTCGAATTAGTACTCCTAGATATATTTGTGATCTGACTCAACCTTCATCGAAACATCATCACAATACTAAACCCCAAAACGATTGATGCCCCAAACGTGAGTCTTAGATAGATAAACGAATTAGTAAGTCTTAGTATTAATACTACTCCATACATAAACGCATTAGTACTGTAGATCGAATGAATCTGTCATCCATCTGCTATTCGAAACCATCATTCAAACATCAGCATGCTGTTTAACCTCAAACCGATTGATGTTTCGAACGCGAGTCTTCCCATAACACTCCAGATGACTTCTCACCGTGGTCCACCGCATGCCATTCGCCGATCTGCGAAAGGGCTTTGTTTTACTGCCGTTCATGCTATACTGCGTTACTCTGATCATATTAGTATTAGTATTACCAACAATGACAAGACAGATAGTTAGGTTCTTAAATGTTGTCTCATATTTACATTTCTCTATAAAAGAAAGGTTAGGGCAATTGTAACATCAGTTACGAAGCGAGACTCTTTGTTCATTATAGGACGGTATATGGGTCATTCATGTTTGGTCCGGCTTGGTCTGTCATTATGTGACATATTAGCAAAAATGGAAGGGAGACGATCAGTGACATATATATATGGCGCGATTGGCCCAATGCAACTGTCAGCCTCCGTTTGGCAATGCTAGCTTTCGCTTTCCTCTGGGTCACTAACGGGCATTGAAACCAATCTTGGTTGACCATGGGGTGTCGAAACTTCCTCTGTCAGACCCAAGAAATACTTGACCTCCTTGGATTCAGGGTCCTTGACTGTGCTAATGATAATGTGATTGTAAAAAGTAGACCCATCTGCTCGATAATTCAGCAATGTGACAGTGATGTCGCGCCCATCGTCCACGGCATCTCGCAGTTTGGCCACGACCACAGGATCAGTTTCAGGTCCTTGCATGAATCGGCAATTTCGACCCAACACTCGGGTTTGAGAGTAACCAGTCATGTCTAGAAAGCCATTGTTAATGTAAATGATGGGATTTCCAGGTAGACGGGGATCGGTTATCAAAAACGGACTGTGCGACTCTTGCATGGCCAGCAACAAAGGATGATCAACGAGGTCATCGGGAATGGTGTTTTCCCACTGCGGTTCTACGAGATGTATGTCTTGATGAATGTCTTCCACTTCTGCTTCTCGCACAGCTTCTTCTGCTTGGGCTACCATTGTACGACAATATTGTTGTCTTGTTGTGTTGAATCGCTCGCTGTTAGTTAGTTACAGTACCAGTATAGCTGGACTGTAGCTGTTTTATTGACAGTAAATTAAGTCCGCATCAGTTTGCGAGGGGGGTGGTAAAGGACGGCACAAAGTTGTCGGAAAATGCAACATTAAAAAGATCTCATGACATATATATAACGCCACATCGGAACTAGTTCCTCCACCTTATTCCTTGGAAGGGTTCCGCATAATCTTCGCGACCACGGCACCGGGATGCGTCGAATTTTGCGATGAAAGTGACGTCAGTTGACAAAAGTTACCATAGCTGTAGATACTTCAAGTATACAGGGATTGGAGTATGCAAAAGTACAGTACTGGTATTTGGCAGCCCCAATACTTCTTTGGTGGATCATCTTCAACATCCTAGAATCCGTACCAGCATTGTTGATGCTGAACCATATATATCCATATCCATCTACTAATGGATGTTATATGGATGTTATACTACATACAGATTCTACTACACACTCGAATGACGTTGAAAGGCTTGCTGCCTTCTTCGCCTTAGCAACTGCTCCCTCAATTCGGGAACCTTGCTAACGACGTGCTCATCATAATCTCTCGTCTCATAATCAATATGGACAAAACACCGTTCCACTTCTTCTTGAGCTTCAATTTCATACTGTAGCTCCATTCCAGCGTCATGACTTGTTTTCAATGGAGTATTCTCGGGCATGACGACTTCCAATTCCACCAAGAACTTGGGCCCAAAGTGATAGGCTCTGATGGTGTCCACTTGCATGCGTTGATCAAAAATTTCAGCTAGTTCATAGAGCTCGTCAATGAATTCCTGTGGTGCGGACTTTCCACTGCATCACGAATCATGAGCAAGCGATTGATTGGGTAAAAAGTTGTAAAGTTGTCAGATACAGCCCATATGTCAAGTAATAATATCATCAACATCGTAGCAATCATCAACATGATCATCAAGAAACTTACGTCAATTGTTCAATTTGATCCTTTCCAGTCTCGTACCAACTCCAGATAATGTATAATGAGATCAGAATGGCACCAATAGGATCCAAGAACCAGAGGGAATCGGCATAGAGAGCAAAGATCAATGCAATGGCAGCCACACCGTTACTCAAGGTATCATTCCAGTGATCTTGAGCAAGTGCCTCCAAAGTAGGGTCCGCCAATTGAAGCGCCCGCTTGGAAGTGACAGTAGCCGCCTTGTGGTTTGCGCGCTTGCACAGGAAATACAAGAAAAGTTTGATGACAATAATGGCTACCATACTCCAAAAGGAAAGAATTTCATCTTTCAGATCCATGCCTTCGAGAGTGTTGGTTTTGTAGAACAAGGCAGTTCCTGATTCCTTCAAGACTTCAAAAGATGCCATACCCATTAAAGCGGCACAAGTCAAAACTCCAATCGGTTCCAATCGACTAGCCCCAGCAGGATAAAAGGCCGACGATCGTTGCATAGAAGAGTGCTTTTCGGTATAATTCAGCACAAACTGCGATACCACATCCAAAACACTGTCCAATAAAGCAGCCAACACTGACAAGGAGAACGTATCAATGTAGGCAATGAATTTGGCAAAAGTAATGAACAAGTTCATGTACAAACTCAAATCGAGGGCGATTCTTCGCAACGTCCATTTGCCAGCAGAACGACCAATGGTGGAATCATCGTTTTCATTGAAACTGCTGTTCTGATTGCTCTTGAGAGACCAGGAGGATTCGTCCTCGTCACTGCCATCTCCAACAATGGAAAAGGGAGACGGCAAACAGAAAGGAAGCGATTCTTCCACAGCTGCAGGCTGTTCTTCTGGACTGACAACGGCAGGAAGGCCATTGATTCCGCCATAGGTTTGTTTGATGTAGTCATTGAGACTGCTAAAGTTAAGATCCGCTTCACCAGTGTAAGATTGTGGTTGCTCATTACCAGCTTCCGAAAGAGGCGTTGTGCTGTCTTCGTATGACATTTTGATGTAGTTTTTGTTTGTTTATCTGTTTATCTGTTTGTTTGTCTGTTTGTTTGTTTGTTTGTTTGTTTGTTTGTTTGTTGTAATGGGTAAATACGTTTTGATGCGGAATTATTATACTTTTTTATATAAAAAACAAGCACAAGCACAAGCACATGCACTGCAACAACGCGTGAATACCAGTACCAGGTACCTGGTACGACGAAAATTGCGGTCTGTGTTGCAACTGCACTACTACTGGTACACGTACTACTACTGTGCGTCTGCATCCGTGGTGGAAGCAGAACGCATTTCGGAACTTTTGTAGGTTTTGGTACAAGATCTACGGCGGGAATGTCTTGGCCAGTCAAATGCTGCCAAAAAATGAATCTGAATGCGAATCTTCTCAATCGAATGGGTCAACGGGAAGGAAGCAATTATGAAATGAAACTGCACTATGTGTGAATCTAATGGATTTCAGGTAGGATCGATATGATTATGTAGTTAAGTTATATAGAGAGATATAGTTGATGAGTTGTGATGTCAAGAGATCCCTTCTCTTGACGTCCTTTCTTGAGGTCATTATTCATTCTCCCATCTTCCGTTAGGTCGGCGTACAGACTCTGGGTCCGAATATTCCAACACTCCCTCTTGGGAAAGGAAGTAATGACCAAAATGTTACCAACCGATAAGGAGGTAGCGGAGAGCAACGAAGGTGGCGGCGTCGAGTGGTTTTGTTCCGATATCGGCCAATTGATCTTTTGTGTCGATTTTCTGAATGGAAACTTCCCCTTTGCGGACCGACTTCTTGAAGTGATGATACTTGATGTTAATGTGTTTGGTGCGTGGGCGAAGTTTGTCGGCTGTCGCGAGTTCGATTGCTCCATTATTGTCCTCGAAAGCTTTACATTTGAAAATCGGTTTGGTATAGTTGAAAGATTTGATTCTCTTTGCGAGTTCTTTGAAAAATCGGATTAAAACGAGCACAGTTCGCAGTGCCTGGGAAAGACAGATGTATTCGGCCTCCGTGGTGCTTAAAGCGATCTCTGTCTGCATCTTGGAATGTGAATAGATCAAGCAATTGTTAAACATGATATGGTAAGCTGTTCGCGATTTTGCAGTTGCTGGGTCTTCGGCGCTGTGTTTGTTGAAGCCGCCTGCAAAATCTGCGTCCGCATATACTTCAAAGCCCTTTCCAGATTTTGGCTTCATGAACATACCCTTGTCGCGTGTGTCGCGAAGGTAACAGCAGATTCTCATTACGGCATCCTCGTGGGATCTCTTGGGAAAGGCCATGAATCGTCCGACTTGAGAGACCGCAAAGATCAATTCAGGTCGCGTCGATCTTGCCAGCCAATTTAGCATTCCAATTACAGAACGGTAGTCCCAATGAAGTTGACGCGTTAGCCCACCTTCATCTTTGTGTAAAACTTTGTTTGCTGGTGTTCTGACTTCTCGTCGTGCTCCGCGGTCCAGGTCGATGTTTACCGTTTCAAGAATGCGTTGGATCAAGGCGGGTTGGGTCAATTCTCGACCTTCGCTCGTCTTGGTCATTTTGATTCCGAGATATTCGTTCAAATCGCCTTCGTCCGTTAATTTGTACTTTTGTCCGAGCCGTTTGATGACGTCATTAATTTCGCGTCCGTTTGGACCCATCAAAATTGCATCGTCCACATAAACGATAAAAATTGTCTCGCCCTTATAGAAGACTGCTTTGTCGACCTTCGATTGTTTGAAACCGATGTCCTTCAGCCCCTTTCGGAGAAAATCGAACCATACCTTGCCCGCCTGCTTGGCCCCGTAAAGGTTCTTCTTTAATAAAAGAACGTTTTGTTCGTTGTACTCTGACCCGTCCACATAGCATTCTCGCGGAATTTCCATGTACATTGGGCATTCAACTTCTGCTTGTGGGAATGCAAGGACAAAGTCGATCTGTCGCGTTGTCCAACCATTCATTATAGCGAGTGTTAGTAGGCTTCGAATCGTTTCCCATGCAACAACTGGTGAATACGTATCCCAGTAATTCACGCCTTTTTCTTGTGAACTCCCATCAATGCATAGTCGTGCCTTCCATTTGTAAATTTCGCCAGTTCCAACACGGCGTTTTCGTTTCATTGACCAAACACCTCGCATCGCTTTGTGCCCTTGTGGCATAGATTTTCTTGGAACTATCTCCCAATGACCTCCTTTCGTATGATCTTCAATTTCTTTGACCATTGCGGTGTGGAAGTGAATCCAATCTCTTTCTTTCTTCGCTTGGTGCAGGTACATCGTATCCTCATCTGCTAACGTCGCTGCAAAGGCCATTGGATTGGCAGTGATGCATTCGTCCACTAGTTCTTCTGCATGGACTTCCCTTGCAATTACTGTCCTGTAAGAACGCAAAGTTAGTTCAAATTCAAGACGCTTTTGGTCGAGGGTACTTGCTGTGTTTTCTTCCCCGTCGTCTCTCCCTCGCTTGCGCTTTTGAGAGAGAGATTCGTGGGTCTTCAGTGCTTGGATTGTACGGGTTCCCGCATTGTCCTCCCTCTGAAGAGCTGGATGTTTGAAAGTCCCGCTATCAAGTAACGGTGTTGTTGGACCTTCGGCCTTTCGGGAGAGTCGTGGCAGCAAATTTGGGCTGGTGTCCCGTTGACTCTCCCTCATTTCTCGACCTTGGGTTTGACCTTCAGCCTTTCGGGAGGATGGAGGCAGTGAATGTGTGCTGGTGGTCCTCCGGTTCTCCCTCATTTCTCGACTTTGGGTCTGGTGGGAGAGTTGAGGCAGCAAGCTGCTGGTGTCCCTATAACTCTCCCTCTGAGGCAGCAAGTCTTTGCCGTTGTCCCTCGGATTCTCCCTCTGAGGCAGTAAACTGGTGTCCCTCGGGGATGGCTTTCCGTTCTCCCTCTGAGGCAGCACGTTTCTGCTGGTGTCCCTCGGGTTCCCCGTTCCGCCAGTTTGAGCTAGTCTATCTTGACCGTTACGCTCAGTTGTCGAGAGCTGTCGGCTTTGTGCTTCCAGGTGTCCTCTCTCATCAATGGTCTCTGATGTTGGAGTCGAGAGCTCGTGGCGCTTTGCTTGGAGGTGTCCTCTCTCGTCAATCGGCTCTGACGTTGGAGTTTCGGTACCACTTGACTCTGGCACCTGAGTGTGAGATATTTTTCTTCTTTTGTTTGCTTTGGGCTTCTTTGTGGATCTCTTCTCATGAATTCGAGTCAATCCCTGCCACCGTCCAATATTCTTCATTGCTGGGATGTCTGTCGTCTCGAAACGTTCGTCGTGCGTCACATGAAATTGAGGTGAGGTCAATCCTGTGTCAGGGTTTAGAACAAGCGATACCGAATTTGCGTGTTCGCGTGAGAGGCCAAGGAAAATGCCAATTCGCGCCCTATCACACCATTTGTTTTCCAAGGAGCTTCCACTCTGTAGTTTTGGATCCAGATTGTAGATGGGACAACCAAAAGTATGGAAGACGTTGACATTTGGTTTGTCATCAGAATCAACAAATTTTTGAAGGGCTGTCCTGTGTTCTCCCTCTCGAAGAGTGGAATTGCGGATTTGGGAAGCGTAAACCATAGCGAAACCCCAAAGATGCGCTGTGATGGCCGCTGGCCAGTTGTGCTTTGCAAGGAGAAGCATGGAGCGAGCGGAGTCACGAAGGTCACGGATACGCTTCTCGGCTTTGCCATTTTGATGATGAGCATTGACTCCGCAGAAGGTGTGTGTTTGGTGTGCAGCTTTGCATGCTGCCTTGAAGGAATTATCAGCAAAAACTCCGTTGTCGCAGTGATAGTGTTGGATGCGCACACCGTAACTGTTTGCATGGCGTTCAAACGCAAGTTTGGCTTCAAGAACTGAGTTGGCATCGTTGTATTGGTGAAGGTGCACGTAGTCCAGGTCACTGTAGTGATCAACAAAGACTGTAGCATAATGAAATCGTGCTATAGTGGGGTGTCCGCGAAGTTGGGGCATCAGACCTGGGACGCTAGTGGAGCTCATGGTGTCGACCGACACGACCGATCCAGGCTTGGTTGCTTGACGTGGAGTCTTGCGACTGCCGTCTTTCTTCTTGGAGCGATGTCGCCATTGTCGTCGGGTTGCCTTTCCAAATTGACAACCGGGGCAGAATGGGAATTCTTTGATAGTTGCAAGCCGACGATCGATGAGGCCTTCTTTGGCACTGGCTTTGAGGTGCTTGAAAGGCATGTGTCCGAGGCGGTAGTGCCATCGGAGCAAAAGAGTCTTTTTATCCGTCTCATTTAGCGATGGTAGAGTTGCTTCTGGCGCTGTATCATCCCATTCACCAGTGAGGAGGGATTCAAAATTGAAATCTTCAAGGACTGCTGGTGGCTCTTCAAAGTTATCGACAAAGGTCTTGGCAAGGCTTGGTGCTGTAGTCCCGTGCAGGTCGAAAGGATCTTTTTCCTTGGGGTCGCAATCTTGACATTGTCGTTCTGATGGAGGATTGGGGTGTGTTCCGTCAGGGAGGTGCAGATCTTGGAAGGTCAAAGCTGTTGGTCGGATCCGTGCTTCTTGTGCCGTAATGTGCTGAGATTTGAGGTGTGAAGAGAAGGAAGAGTAGCCGGGCTTTGTCATCAGGAGCGGTAGGTTTGTTTCGCTGTCAAATGGGACAGTTCGGACGCAATTGTTCTCAAAACGTAGTTCCACGGTGTCACCACACACATTGAAGTTTCGGATTGGTTCCATTCCCTTTCTTTTAGTTGGACCTTGCTTTGACCATTGGCGTGGACTCAGTAAAGTCAGCTTCAGTCGTGGAGCATAGTAGGCATCGTGTATCAGGTGCTGATGCGTGTGCCCATTGTCGTCCGCGAAAACCAATTGCAGAGTGCCTTTTGCAACGATTGGGATGGAGCCAGAGGCTCCTTCCAATTTCATACCCTTCACTGGAGTCAATTTCCCAACGAAAAGGTGCCTTATGCCACCGACTGTTGAGGATGTGCAGCTGTCGACCCCAACTGGAATTGAGTCGTGTTCGAAAGTCGCGTTCATGGCTCTGCAGATGTGGGCTTGATAGCTTTTAAGATGAAGTTCTGTTTTTATATCTTCCACTGAACTCAAGTCGATTATCTGCTTGCCTTGCCGTCAATCGAAACCTTCGTCCTCCAAAGCAAAATATCCATCGTCCGTCCTGCTTTCGTTGTCCGACCCGTCGTCTGAGTCGCTTGTGGTAGTGATCTCGGCCGTGAGTGCTGAGATTCGCGTCTCAAGGGCTTTCACTTTCAATCTCTTCTGTTCTTTGGTGCTAGGCTTCTTTATGGGAGTTCCAACTCCGCTGCACGTCTTGGAGTTGTGCTTTCTACCGTCGCGTGATACCGCAAGTACCATCTTCTTGTGATGCTTACACCAATTCCATTCCCTCATGGACCCGCTTTTGTTGGCTTTCTTGATGATCTTGTCCTCATCGCCGGCTTTTGGAGGGGTAACAAGCCAGGTGTCAAAGTCCCCATTATCTTTGTCCTTGCGGCCATCGGCCTTGGGCTTCTTGCTTTGTTTGGGGTCAGTTGGAGGCTGCTTCCGCTTGCTCCCAAATTTTTGGATTTTTGCGGTGTAGTCCTTAATAATCTCCCTCTTGTCCTTCGCCTGGCTAGCCGAAAGGGACATGATCTGTTGTTTCTGTGAGGGAAGGTGCCAGAGACCCTCTGAGACAAGATTGTTGTACTTGGTCTCTCCTTCCTTCATGAGGTCTTCGTGCGGTATTTCGGGCATGTTGTTTTTGATTGACATAAAGGCCCTGAATTCGTCTTGATCAACTTGATTGTATCCTTGCGCGAGGGCGTTGTAGGTCATGACTTCGTTTAAGCTAGAGGAGCCTCCCATAGCTCGGATCTTGGCCTTAAGTTCGTTGAAACGTTGATTAAAAAGGATGATGCTGTTGCCATGCTCGATCGGGGACAAAGTTTGTAGGTCGTTAATTAGGAATTGTATCGTCCTCCGATTGGATGGAGAGGTTAGATTGCAGATGATCTTGAAAATCGTGGGTCCGTCGCAACGGCCCCTAATCTGAACATAATCGTCTTCACGTTGTTCAAGACGCTGCTTGAATTCGTTGGATACAGAATCCAGGAGACACATCCCTAGGGCGTAACTCGCCTGGCGGAAATAGGTGTTCGTCCTCCATCGGCTTGTTGCAGCGGCTTGCGTTGCGACAAGGGAAATCTCGCCGTATTTTGACAGCAAATTTTTGGTCATTGCATTTTCGGTAACGTCAAAAACAGGAAGGCAGTGCATGAGGGTACAGCGGCCTTGTATATCCTTGATCAATCGGGACAGGTCTGTGCCATCGAACTTGTTTGAAAGTGGTTGCTTTGCCTGGTTGTAGAGGCCTAGCTCGAGTTTGTTCTTGAGGTCCAGTGGTATTATGCCACGGGGATAGGCATCAAGGCCGTCTTCGTTCGGTGGAGGCAAAGGGTTTTGCACTGGTCCTGGTTGTTGCACCACTGGTGGTGCCATCGCTGCCGGCTGTTGCTGCGCCGCATGAGGTTGTTGCTGCGGTGGCATTGCGTTCCCTTGAGGTGGTGGCGGTAGTGGGTTTGCATTTAACTGCGGTAGTGCTGCCATGAGCGCTTGCATCATTTGTTGCTGACCTTGGATTAATTGCATGATCAGATGGTTGTTGGCGCCGGCGCCAGGGTTATTTTGCTGTTGTTGTGGCTGCTGTGGAGCTGGAACTTGTTGTGGCGGTTGCTGTGGAGCTGCGGCGTTGTTATTGCCTTCACCAGCTACAACGTTGTTGTTTCCTGCGCCAGCGTCGTCTCCTCCTTGCTGCGCCAGATCCATGTTGATGTCTGGGGCTGCTTCGGCTTGAGCGTCTTCTTGGTTGTCTGCTATTTCGCCTTGTCGTCGGAGTTCTGCTATTCCCTCAGCAAATCTCAAAGGTCGCCTTCTATTGGTGCGCAGGGGATTACGACGAGGAGGGTCCACTACCATGTAGTTTCAATTCGATTCTATTAGACGCAGAGGGAGCGTGTGTGAATCTAATGGATTTCAGGTAGGATCGATATGATTATGTAGTTAAGTTATATAGAGAGATATAGTTGATGAGTTGTGATGTCAAGAGATCCCTTCTCTTGACGTCCTTTCTTGAGGTCATTATTCATTCTCCCATCTTCCGTTAGGTCGGCGTACAGACTCTGGGTCCGAATATTCCAACACACTATTATGGAAGCATATTCTTTTTGCAGCTATGGTTTGTCGACAATAAGCCTGAACTCTTTGAACCATTAGACTTCAAACTACAAGCTATTCGACCATCATCGGACGGAACGAATCATGATTTTTCGCATCGCATTCCTGGTCGTCGTCACCAGGCAGCAACATCGCAAGAAGACGAAGACGGCTGAGGCAGGTGAAGATTTGCGCAAGATAGGCAACCTTACTACAACGACCAAATCGCAAGAAGAAGAAAATTTCCGAATATTTTAGGGTGAAGAACTCTACAGCTGTCACTGGCTGCTAGCAACACAACCGCAACGAACGACGGCAATGGTGTGGCTGGACGACTGAAAATGCCGAAGAAGAAACCAGGATGATCGTTCACTTCCAGTTTCTCGGTCGGTCCTTTTGTTGCACTCGTCAACTGTTCCATGTGGCCTTCCCAAAGGAAAATCATCAGCAAAAGAAGTAAAATACAAAAACAAGAAAACGCAGGGCTCCTCCTCGCTGCTTCCAACCTTTCTTGACAGAATCCGCAGAAGCGCCATTTCTTGTCGGCAAAGATAATGGCAAGCAGGCAAACAAGCAATGAATTCGTATGCAGTCCAATCACCCTTCCTACTGGCGCCCCTGGAAGATGATCCAACAAATTTGCACAACTTTCAGTTGGCGACTACCTTCGCTTCGGTGTTTCATCAGCACGACGACTGGCTCCGACAAATAAGATTCTCCTCTTTCGAAAACAGTAGTGATCGAACAACAGAACTGTGGCAAAGTCGTTGACGTTCTTAGGTGTCAGCTGTACGAAAGAGAAAGGTACATTAAGACTGAAGGATACAATGGGAAAAGGCCGTGGTGTGGTCGTGTGGTGTGGTGTGGTGTGGTGTGGTTTGGTGTGGTGTTATTGGCAACCAATATTCTTATGTTTGTGTATTATTATAATACCTCTACCTATCCAGTAATTAGTTGGGTAATTTTGAAGCATAGCCAGCTAGCTACATATAATCCTCGCCTCGGATTTGTGTAGTAGACTTTGAATCCTTCATCACCATCATCTTTCCCATGATACTTAATTCCAGGCTCCATTTGTTCGTGGGCCTTGGCCATATACGAAACTTTACCCGTTCCTATTCAGTCATCCATTCCGTTATAAAAAAAACATCCTTGACAACGTTCTCAAATTGAAAAGGTCGGCAATCAAGGTGCTGATCAGAGCTGGTGGCAATGATTTTACAAGCACCCAAAACCGGCAACAGTGACCAGTGTATTACTAGAACCGGTATGGATCAATACAGTATAGAAAATTCGTATTAAGAGCGTTGTTAGTCGGTTGAGCCGAATGTATCATTTTGCTCGCTCCAGCCAACTGGGCCTTCAGATGAACTTACCTGGATTGATGCTGTCTGGATCAAAATACATCATGCTCTCCAGCCCAACCGCAGTTGGAAGTGGAAAGTCTTCCATTTTGAGGTTGGAGACAGGACTGGTTTCATGAAAGGAAAATACTTCCATATCGTCGCACCGAGGCTGCTAGAGGTGGGGCGGAAGATGATGCCCTGGCACCTCCGCCTCTTCGTCCACCAGGCTTCTCCTCTTCACTCTCCATCCACCAGTCAACAGCTTCATGTTGTGAGCTCGTTAGCGATTGAACGTCGCTGGTTTGGATGTATTGCTACTTCTCTCTTTTTGAATTTTGTGCGTTGTGAGAACATTTTCAATTATTTGCTGTCATGCAGTTGGTGGTTATTGGTGACAAAGTTGATATATACGCAGGCTCAGAAGATCTTCGGTTGGAAGTTCTTCAGAAATTTCGGATCAAATGAGTGAGTCGGTACTTATTCATATATAAAAATATAACATCCAGATAATGATTCTTCGAAACGATGTACGTCATATTAGCAGCAACAATGCAATGTGAACGTAATATTAGCAGAAACAAATCTGGCTCATGCGCACCGGTAAATGGAGGGGCTTATCGTGTACCGGTACCAGGTACTGGAAACAGAGGATTCTCTGAGGATAATATGTCAACAATGATTGAAATTCTTCCCGAGTCTCAGCTTTTGGGAGGCAGCGCAAATGGGTCACAAGCAGCATAATTAACATTTTCCATTCAGGCGACAACGCAGGAGGGTATTTTCCAGTGTACCTTCTGAGACATTATCCATACCCCCAAAATGAACAATTCATTTTATCAACCGCAGTTCATCATACTTTGTACTGTCTCAAACATAATGAGAAAAGATGTCAGCGCAACAATGGTGGATGCTCAACAAAAGGTATACCCGTTTGTTCCTGAATTCTCAAGCGGCTTCGTAACCACGAGCAGGTCTCCTTGTCCACAACCAAATAAGAAAAACAGGAGCACGAAGACAACTCCCGCTTCGCCTCGTACATTGTCCACCAAAGTTTCCGTTCAAAAGAAACGTCGATCCATAAAAAAAGACCAGAAATGTGACCCGCCGCCAATTCGAAGAAGCAGCCTCTCCTGGCTGGCATCACCTGCTGTCTCTCCGCACACTCCTCGATCTGTCACGAAGAGTTCCGGAAGCCGGGCATTGTCGAAACGGTCTCTGAAGCATTTGCCATCGGCTCCATTGAATGTCCAAGATGAAATCCAAAAACTCCAATCCTCAAACCGAAGAGGCAGCCTCTCCTGGCTGGCATCACCTGCTGTCTCTCCACACACTCCTCGATCTGTCACGAAGAGATCCGGAAGCCGGGCATTGTCTAAACGGTCTCTGAAGCATTTGCCATCAGCTCCATTGAATGTCCAAGATGAAATCCAGAAACTCCAATCCTCAAATCATGACCATCCATTGAAGACCTTGACTCGGGATTCTCAAGGTGGTTCCACCAGAACTCTTTTCATGACTGGAAGCGCGGATTCTTTTGGTCCTTCTTTGGACTGCTCTGATCGAGCCATGTCGCATCAGTTTCCCATGTTTACTGATACGCAAAAGGTTGTCTTCCGGAAGCAACCCAAACAGCGAGACATTGCGATCGAAACCAACACCGGCGTCACAATTGGTTCGATTGTATTCGTAAACGAAGGAACTCTTCGACTATTGAAGGATGCCAGTGGAAAAACTTGTGGCATGATTCGAAAGACCCGTGACAAATCTGTCGGTGGTGGCAATCTATTCCAAGTCTACAGCAACAAGCCGGTGATGCCCGGACAAAAACAGAGCAAGAACAAAATAATGACTGGCTGCTACTTGTGGGCTGAAATCAAGAATACTGGCTCCATGGGTGGCAAGTTTGTAATGAAAAGATACTCGGGCGAAACCTCCTCTTGCTCCGGTGGGGAGCACAGAGCCCAACCGTTTGGGTCGCTCTTCTCCAAGGACAAAACCAAAGGCTACACTTTTTTGGATGGCGACGGAAAGGAATGCACCAAAATGATTTCTTTGAAGAATAGAGACAAAGGTATTGCGATAGCACCCCGTCGGGATACTGGCCTGATGTTGGCTTTTTGTGCAGTGGTTGATGAGATGGTCGAACGTCGTCTGAGATAATGATGTTAATTAAATAAATAGAATTTCATATACAATCCCTTCCAATCTCATGCCATTGCATCGCCGCAGCCGCAATTGGCATTCTTGCAGTACCAGTTTCTAATCCAAGGTCTTGCGGGACCGTTGTTTTCTCTATACCACGAAGGCCGACATACCGGTACACCATTCTTTGTAACAAAAGCTCCCAGTGCGGATATGTTGGCGTTTTGTGCAGTGGTTGACGAGATGGTCGAACGTCGTCTGAGATAACGAACTATAAAAGTATATATTCAATGGCTATGGCAATGCACCGCAAAAACGTAGATCTGATCTTCGCACCTTGGAAGGTCTTGGAAGCGCAACAAAACCGCCACTAGGAGGATTATGGTTCTCTATCACATGTCAACAAATGAGCCGCCCGGCGACATGGAATTGACCATCATATCATACATACATAATTATCGCAAAGTACCCAACAACAAAAGACAGAAACGATGAAAGTACATGTGAGAGTAAGTGCAGGCAACAAAGCTGACTCAAATAGTAGGGGCTTCGGGCAATGGAAATGGCGGATACTTTCGGACTCTGACATCATAAAATGATTTGCGTTGACGTGAAAATATGAAGGCTAAACAGTTTTTCGGAGGCAGATTGTTCGCATTTCGGACATATATTGTAAATCGAACTCGTCACCGGAAAAAATAGAAAGCGCCATTTTGATACACTTCTGATCATAGGATATAGAAATATAGCAACAAAATTTGCAAAAACGATACATAAAATAATATTACCGACCACAATTTTTAAAATCATCATGCTTTGTACTGCGTCAAACACCAAGAAGAAAGATTTCAACAGCCCCCAGGGTGCTCAGCAAAAGGTATTCTCGTTTCTTCCTGAATTCTCAAGCGGGGTCTTAATCTCTCCGAAGACGCCTCATCGTAGTCCACAGAAAGGAAAAAAGAACAAGAGCAACAAGAAAACTTCTGCTTCATCATCTACATCCTCTCCAACACAAGTTTCCAACCAACAAATGAAACTTGAATCTAGCAATAGCAAAGGCAATAATTTTGAATCACCATCTCGAAGAGATAACTTCTCTTACTGGTTGGCACCACCATGTTCAAGAACTCCATCTCCTAACAAACCAAACGCTCCTCGATCCGCTAGCAAAAGATCCGAAAGTCGGACATTGCCCAACCGATCCTCTCGGAAGTACATGCCAACGGCTCCATTAACTCGAGATGCTCAAGGCGACTCTACAAACACTCTCCTCACCTATGGAAGTGTGGATACCTTTTTGGAGGGCTATGATCCAACCATGTCGTATCAGTTTCCCATGTGTAATGAAACACAGAAGCTTGTCTTTCGGAAGCAACCCAAGCAGCGTGACATTGTCATCGAAACCAATACTGGCATCATACTCGGTTCGATTGATTTCATAGAAGATGGAACAACCCTTCGATTCTTGAATGATGCTGCTGGAAATACTTGCGCTATCATTCTACAGACCCGTGACAAATCTGTGGGTGGCGGCAGCATATTCCAAGTCTACAGCAACACCCCCGCGGTGTCCGGACAAGAAACGAGCAAGAAGAAAATGACAAATGGCTACTATTTGTGGGCCGAAATGAAGAATACTGGCGTGATAGGTGGCAAGTTTGTAATGAAACGATACTCGAGCGAAACCTCTTCTTGCTCCGATGGGCAGCACATTGCCCAGCCGTTTGGATCGCTCTTCGCCAAGGACAAAACCAAAGGCTACACTTTTTTGGATGAGGGC